GTTCTATTATGTTCTCTGAACTGGGGTGTTCAGTCGTGGAGTGTTCATCGTCTTTCTAGACGACTTCTTCAGTACTAACTTCAGTATGAAGCTGATGCAGTCTGGCTCGAAAAGCCAACTAACATTTTCCTAAAAGAAGACTTATAGTTAATGCATATTCAGTAGCTACTTCTATTTTGAACAGTCAGATCATTTTTAACGAAGATAATGCGAAGAATTATTATGTTGAAGGAATCATTAACAGAGATGATACTTGGTGGACATCACCAAGCATGACAATTTCTATCCAGTGTGTACTGCTCAGTGGATAAGCTGACATTATAGATCATTTGGTTAACGAATCGCTTGTGTACTAATGACGTGACTGACTGCTTGCGCAACACAATTTTGCAGGCTAGTCGACTATGCATGATTCACAGACAGAGGGGATCGCAACCAGACAGACCTTTTCATTCCAATCAGTTCAAAGGCAGCGAGGATAAAATTGTGCAGCAGTGGATAAAATTTTATCTGTTATCATCGATATTAAGTTTTGGTACTTGTTGTTCCACTTGTGCTGGAGAGCTCGAAATCACGTCGTGAATGGAAAACAGTATGACTGAGATCAGTATTAGGGTTTTCGGCTATGGTGCATCGATTGTATGACTTGATAAACATAAAAGAACCCAGCAAACGAGGAAACAAAGGTAAAATCTTTCTAAAGTGACAAATCTAACGTCATCAGGTTTGTAGTCTTACTAGTAATGGATTTAGAAGTGTTTTTAAAGCAAGATTATATGAAGTTAGATAACGAAAGCACTTCATACCCAAATAATCATTTTGTAGAGTGAAATACCTGAATAAGAACTCTGTCAGGCTTGAATCTGGATCCCATGAATGACAAAGACTGATCAATAAACTGCTGCAACCATTAGTGTTACACAGGTAGTCAACAAGCAACTGACCCGATTGTAAATACGTGATCAAAGTACTTTCGAATCAGTAACTGCCTTCTGACTCATGTAATTGATTCAAAGTTTTTTAATACTCCAGAAATAGGTCAACTTTTGGAGGTTGTTGGCATTTAGAAAATGTTCATATATGTGATTGATGCTCACATGGCTTTTCAATAGGATCGGTAATATGCACAAGCTATTATGATGCCTATTCTCATTTAACTCCCTCATGAGAACCACATCCATGAAGGCCTCAGATTATGAAAATGTCAATGGTGTAATATTTGTTGTTAAAAGCATATTATGCTGTTCTAGTACCTGTACGATGATGAATGAGTCAAGTTCAGATCGATGCTTCAACAGGTCTCACTTACTTTTGTCCATTGGATGATTCTCCAGGACTTTATCCGCCGTGAACTGACAGATAAACTAGAAAATTCGTTAAACTCACAAACAGATGATGAAAGCTGTTCAAATCCACTAGTTTTGAGCATTTTGAATATGATAAAGCTAGAAATTACCGTTTTTTCAAAAAGTTCCTTATCTGTTTAAAACTGATTGAAATGAACATAAACTTCTTTCCTGAAAGAAATTTCCTGATTAACTAACTTGAAGGATCTCCATTTTTATTGAAATTTTCACGTTACAAATATTTATTCTCATACCTAACTAATATGAATATATAAGTGTAGAGCGTAACAAAGAAGCTTTCGAATGGAATACTGTTTTGTTTATTGAGTTGTTTCAACAACAACCCGATGGATTATTATTGTTATCATTTTCCCTTGGGTTCCTAGTGGAACATACGGCTTCAGCAACACGCCTCCATTGAACTCTCTTCTCTACAGTCTTTTCAACCTGGCTCCACCACTGCCTACAATCTCCCATTTCTTCCTCACATGATCTCCTTCATGTCACCCTGAGCTGGGATGGCCAACTCGTCGTTTCTCTTTTGGAAACCACTCGAGACCTGGAGCGTGATGTCCCCAATCGGTCTTCTCAGTGTATGCCTAATCCATCTCCACTTTCTTCTAAATGGTGCGGTTATTCCATGTCCCCATCCTTACTTTCGCTTTCATTGAGAGAGAGAAGACACAGGGGCCAATTGGCTTCCCGAAGGCTTCCACCAACTGGCGTCATTTTGCCTCTCCGATTCCAGCAAGGAATAGGTTTATTTTTATTTCTTGTAATCTCCTTGTGCTATGGAGTTTCTTCAGCGATTGAATTGGTTGCCTGGGGTAGGGTTGCTAGCCCTATGCCCAGCCTTCCCTTTTTATCCGGGCTTAGGACCGGCTAGTAACTAGTGAACTAATTAGTTAATTATTATGTCCACCTTGTCGCCAATTCAAACGATAACCAATCAACTAAAACAGATAGTGTGAATTCAATCTCTGTAAATTACCGTGGCCATTACCGATAAGACAGGGAAAGGAGACCACTATGTTTAGAAGAGGTGGGCACATCCTCTTGCTTTTCTGTGGTTATCCCTCAACTTTGACGCTACATAACTCAGTCCTAGAAAGTACTACTAATGACAAATATACGACTGAATAGACTAGTTTGCTTTCTGTTTGTTATGAACTTAGATTTCACTCTGTGTTTAACTTTTCTTTTTCTATTTTCGCTTAGCACTCATAAGTAATCACTAATTGCTTCTTGAATCTGTCTACATCTATTTCCCTATCAATATGCAAACTTAACTAATGATCAACCACTAGTTAATCCTATTTTTCCTTTTAATTTCTAAAACTTTTGCAAAATAAAATAGTGTTACTCAGGTTTTGCCCTAAAATTAACCAATTATTCCTTCATCGATCAACCTTAAAATCTTTGCTGTTACTCAATGTTTGTATCAGCGAAGAAATATTTCTTTTCAACATGGATTCCTATGTAAACCAAAGTATTCATATCACAATAGGCATCATAAACCACACATGGCACTGTTGATTGGCACTAACTGGCTCCAACTATTCATGTCATTCAGTAATCTTGACACTAGTTGCAGCGTCGAGCAGATCAAGTTACATGATTTATGTATTTTGGTTTTTAGGGGAAATCACGGTGAAATTTCTCACTATAGACTGTATATATTTTTGCAAAACACCTGGTTTGATTCTAGCTATGACCCTATCATTCAGATAACCAGCTAGAATTCGGGTGATTTCAACAATTCGGTCCTCTGAGCTGAATCATTCTGAGTACACCGTTGATGACCTCGGTCTCGAACAAGCAAAATGGCCGCAAGGTGTTCAGATCATCCTCTTCCGGCTAGTGGCCAATACTGATCGGTGCGAGTAGTCTACTAGTATTCAATTAATTCAGTAGCACATTTCTTACTTCATGTTTACATAGATATGCATATATTAATTCGCTGTAGTAAAAATAATATATTTAAAGGTTGAAGGTGATGAAATTTCAAGGAAATGTATATTTGTTTAGTTATTTGGTACTGTAGACTATAAGATCGACTTCTTTTTGAAATGATGGCATTCTATAAGTGACCGAGTGGATAAGAATAAATATGCAAACGATAATAACGCGATCAGATACCTGAACAGCATACAAATAGTAAAAGCTTTCTCTAAAACGCTTATACTTCTTTGAGCCACAAACATCTAAATGCAAAGGCTGATGTTTGACTGTAAGGAAGGTACTTCATTCGATAAAAGTACATCGTTTATATCCAGTTTTATAACCGGTAGATTTTTAAAGTTAGACATTTATTTTGATTCGTCAACTGTAGGACAAAATTGTCCAATAAGCTTTTTCCTGACCACACAGTAACATGAAACAAAAGTTGAAGTTCAAAGCTTCTATCTTAGCGAATGGTGACTTGAAATGTTGCTCCCGAATTAGTCTGCTTCCCATCAATTCTGAAACAAACTTTCTATCACAATACAAAACCTTTATTTGTAATTTATAGAGATCTTTGTTTCCTATATTAAAGGGTAAAAACCTTTTAGATTTTCCTTATTCACTAGTCTCGTTCCTTAGCATTACATAACCCTGATATTCTTTTCCAGGCTTTCGCCTACTTTGTCTCTCGGAGCACCTGTTTACGTTATTATTATTATTATTATTATTATTATTATTATTATTATTATTAGTCCCTTGAACTCCTAATGGAACATAGGGCTTCACTAGCACGTCTCCACTCCACTCTCTTCTCTGAGATCTTTTCAACCTGATTCCACGACAGCCCACAACCTCTCATTTCCTCCTCGCACGATCTCCTCCATGTCACCCTCACCTGAGACACCTAACTCGTCGCTTCCCATGAGGATTCCACTCGAGGCACTGGCCTGACGCGTGATGTCCCCAGTCGGCCTTCTCAGTGCATGCCCAATCCATCTCCACTTCCTCCTGCATATTTGTTGCATGATAGGTTCTTGCTTCATTGGTTCGTTCCCAGAGCTCCTTGTTGCTTATTCTTATTATTCTGGCAATCCATCTGATCTTCAGTAGTGAGCCAGCGTAGACAGTTGTTGATGAATGTCTGTAGTTTATTGGAAATCCCTTTCGTGACGCGCCAAGTCTCTGAACCATACAGAAGCACTGACTTGACATTGGTGTTGAAAATCCGGATGTTGTTCCACATGCTGAGTGGAGTGCAGAAGATCTCCACACTGGTTTCAGGCTAGTGAACGCCTGTCTTGCTTTCCCATTCTGACTTTGACATCTTCGTCTGTGCCACCTGTAGTTGAAACAGTGTTTACGTTACTTTGCTGTTATTAATATTCTTAACGCATCACTTAAGAAGTGATTACTATTATTATTATTATTATTATTATTATTATTATTATTATTATTATTATTCGAAACTGCATAGTCAAGAACCTCATCCGACAAAATAATTATTCACTCATCATTATACCAATAATAAATTCTTACCCAATGGCCGTAATTGATTTTTAACTAAACTTCAAATTATCTTAATCGATTTTCTTCTATTTCAATTGCTTAGTCTATCCAGGCAAGATTCATTTCTAAAAAGAAAATGGAAATTATTCTCCTTTCATAAATTTACCCACCACATTATTATTATTATCTGTCTTGAAAGAGAAAATGGGTAAATCTGAGAATATGAATACCAGTAAAATAGAGGAAATTTCATCATCAGCTTCAAATTTATCATTTACAAGTGTTTACTCGAATACTTTAGTTACTTCAACTGATGCAAATTCAGCAATTCAGTATAATTCAATTAAATATGCAACTAAGGATCAAGGATCTATAGACAATCATTTGACAAATGGTTTACAGAATTCTTCAAAGAATATCAATAATAAAGCGGCATCTGGAGATACTGAAGATAATAGTTCAACTTGTAAAACAGTAAACTGTCAAAATTGTGATGAATCCTTCTTAATAAATCATGATAACAAAGATGGTAATAATATATCCGTTTCAACACAATCACCAATAACTACATCAGTATCAATGAATGAAAAAACATCACAATTATCATACTCAACTATAAAAGAAACAGTTAGGTGTAATAATCTATCAGAAAATAAAAATAATTTAATTATAAATTATCTACCACCAAATATGAGTCAAGAAGAAGTACGAACTTTATTTTCTAGTGTCGGTGAAGTAGAAAGTTGTAAATTAATTCGAGAAAAGATATCAGGTGAAAGTTTAGGTTATGCTTTTGTAAAATTCTATAATTCATTTGATGCTTATAAAGCAATTAAAACAATGAATGGACTTCGATTACAGAATAAAATTATTAAAGTATCATTAGCTAGACCAAGTTCTGAATCTATAAAAGGCGCTAATTTGTATATATGTGGATTACCGAAAAATATGAATCAAAATGAATTAGAAAAATTATTCAGTACATATGGTCATATTATTACAGCTAGAATATTATATGATAATAAGACTGAATTATCTAGAGGTGTAGCGTTTATTCGTTATGATCAACGTATAGAAGCTGAAACAGCAATCAAAAGATTGAATGGTTACTTACCTCCTGGTACTAATGAACCGATTACAGTTAAGTTCGCCAATTCACCAGGTTCAAATAGAGTTGATAATTTCAATATTTGTTTTGTCAAGACATCAAATGGAGAATCAACTTTAAAGTGTCCTTCAAACTCTGGATCATATAATACTCGAGGTTTTAATCAAACTGCTAAAATAATATCTGGAACTCAAATGGAATCAGATGAACTGTATCAAGTAGGAAATCAAATGAAGGGTCTCGTTTCCAGTGCATCAGTAAATGAATCACATCCTGATTCTACTTCTACTGGAGGTTTTCAGAATCCTATAAAACATAGTGAAACACCTTCTCCACAGAACCTCCGAAATAACAAGTCTTGTTCGTCTTGCAAAAGCAATTGTGAGGTAAGGGACAATGAAGAAATGCAACCGAATACAGCTAGTACATCAGGTCATCATGCAACATGTTGTCAGACAAAAATGATGCCAAATAAATTCCCACTTCATGTAAACACTGCAAATGTTGTGATGAACAGTGCAAAAACCTCTGAAATCAACAGCAGTAGAGCGGGATCATTGAATAAATTGAATCATGTCACTCGGCTTAAATGTCAAGCTGCTGCAGCTGCAGTAGCAGCTATTTCAGGCACTAATACTGCAAGTTTTCCTACAAGTTTACCAACATTCGGGATGGAATTTATACGTGGTATAGGATCTAGTGCACATGCTCTTCTAGCTCCAGCCTTTGCAGCTAGTTCAGGTGCATTGACACCAACTGGTTGGTGTATATTTGTTTACAATTTAGCCCCAGACACAGAGGAATCTATACTTTGGCAATTATTTGGACCTTTTGGGGCTGTACAAACGGTCAAAGTGATCTGTGATCCAGCTAATGGAAAGTGTAAAGGTTTCGGTTTTGTTACTATGAGTAATTATGAAGAAGCTTTGTTAGCAATTCATTCACTGAATGGTTTCAGTCTTGGTAATCGTGTTTTACAGGTATCATTTAAAACAACAAGTTCAAAACAAATGAAGTATTTAACAAATAATATTTTCAATAAAAATTTACTTCTATCCACCTTACCCGATTCAGTATCCAATGATAATTTTATCTCGAATTCGTAGGTTTTTCATTATGTTTCATGCAATTTTAGACAATATAGAAATAGTATATTGAACAATGAACACGATTCTATGGAAAAAAACAAGAGAAATTGTATCAGTAGCGAAGATTTCATTTCATGAAAAGTTTATTTATTGTTTCAGTATAACTTTTTTACTTGCACCTTGTGGCAAGCAAAAGTTGCTATTTATTCTTCTTATCATTATTATAATTATTCATTTTATTCTAATTTGTTACTATTCACTTAATTACTGGTTATATATATATACTACTTATATTGGCTACAAGTAGCATTAGTGAAAAGTATGTTTGAAACATCATTTTCGCTGGTGTTATTTTTCAATTTATCTACACAAGCGTGTATTTTATTGGTCGAATGCAAGTTTATTCAGTTTAATTGTGTTTATATATACATTTGTCTATATGTATTTAACATAAGCACATGTACTGTTGTTATAGCTGAACGGATAATTTTCCTCTTCAACCTTTAACTTACTACTGATATCATTATTATTCATTCTTTAAAGCTGAAATATATTATTTGCCATTTCAGTGAATCTTGAATAATTCTCATTGACGTAAGTGTTTATGTGAAATAATGGTTGTGTAATAATAATTTTCTTGAAATTTTAAATGTATTGGTTTTTACTGAAGTAGATGGTATGTCAATGACATAGTGTTTTCAGGGAAAAGGATAACTCATAACGCATAAGCTTGAGGCTAAAACTGACCACATTCACTACTCTATTAGTATGATGGTTACTAATGGTAGGAATGTTCTCAATGATAACAAAAAGTTATCATTCATGCAATGTATTATTATTATTTGTCCCTTTGGTCCCTAGTGGAATATACGACTTCAGGAGAACGTCACCATTTCACACTCTTCACTCTAGTCTTTTCAACCTGACTCCACCACTGCCTACAACCTTGCATTTCTTCGTCACATGATCTACTTCATGTCACACACAACTGAAACGTCCATCTTATCGTTTTTCATTTAGATTAAACTCGAGGGCCTGGCATGATGCGTGATGTTTCCAAATGGTCTTCTCAGTGTATGCCCAATCCATCTCCACTTTATTCTGCATGTCTGTTGGATGATTGGTTGGTGTTTCCTACGTCCTCAGAGTTCCTTATTGCTTATTCTTATTATTCTGGCCATCTGATCTTCAATAACGAGCCAGCGTAGACAGTTGTTGATGAATGTCTGTACTTTGTTGCAAATCCCTTTCGTAACACGCCAAGTCTCTCAAACATCACATTGAAGCACTGACTTACTTGACTGGCATTGGTGTTGAAATCCGGATCTTGTTCCACATGTTGAGTGCATTATGTCTCTACACTGATTTCATATTGATGAACGCCTGTCTTGCTGTCTTTCCGATCCTGTCTCTGACATCCTCATCTGTGCCTGTGCCACCTGTAGTTGAAACGATGCTGACTTCCCAGGTGGGTGAAAGAGACTACTTCCTTTACGTTTTTCCCGTTGATGTTTGATTGGAGCTTGTTGTTGTCGTTGTTGGATGTGGTGGTGGTAGTGGTGTTGTTGTTGGTTGGGCATCTTCATCACCTCTGTCTTATCTACATTCGCTTGAAGTGCGGTCTTCGCTACCCTGTCCTATCTCTCCTCTTCTGTCAACTTGTTAGTTTTCGTCTGTAGATCTTAAAGTGTATGCTACAAGACATCAGACACAAGTCATCATTGGTGAAGTCCAACTCATTTAGACTCTTTTCATCGGTCAAACAGCATATGCCCCTCTTATCACTCCTCACTGTTTCTTGCATGATCCAGTCCATCACAGTCAGGAAGATCATCGGTGACAGTAGGCAACCCTGTCTTAACTATCAACCTGTCTTCACTTCGAAGATATCACTGAGCTTCCCATCGTGAATCACTCGGCATGTGGCATCTTTAACTAGGTAATGAATGAGATTGATTAAGGTTTGTGGTATTCCATAGTGTTGAAGCAGCTGTCAAATTACTTCTCGATTGACGCGGTTGAACGCCTTTTCAGAGTGAATGAAGTTTAGGTAGAGTTGAGTTGACTGCTATTCTGTGCTCTCTTTTATGACAAATGGTTGTCTACATAGTGCCAGTCTGCAACTAAAACTATCGTTAAAGTATTCAATCTACCTCTCTAAGGCACCTTATATGATACCTTAAATATGATTTTTAACAAACAGTCTGTCGTGCTGGAAAAAAACTCAACGTTAATTCAATAAAGATATTTATTTTCTGCATCTAACTTTTACACAAAATAATAAGATAGATAATGCCGTTCTGTTCATTAAATATTTACTTTACATCAGCAGTGATACACGAAAACGACGCATTTCATTCTCCTGTTTACGCAGTTGTTCACGTAGTTCGCGATACTCCCTTGCCGTTGTGTAACTTCTGACGGTGGGCTTTTAAAACAGGGTATGGAAGTAAATCATGTTAATTTGAAACAACAGTTCGATGATAAGAATACCAGTTTAATTATTATCAGAATGGCAAATTTTGGAATCATTGTAAGTTTGAAAAGAGTCCTGAGGATTAGTCTGTAAGAGCTGAACATGATTCAACTCAGTGGATCAGTAGAGGTTACTATAAGAAGTTGCGACAGGCAGTGTCTCTGCACTTGGGATACTAACTGATTAGAGTAGGATTCAAACCCAAAACTGTTTCTAAGCTGTGTTTAAGACAGTTAACCATATTCACTAGTCAATATAACAAAACTCCAGGAATATTTATCTCAACCTGTAGTAAAATGTTATGGTACGTAGGATCATGTTGAATATTGACTCAAAAAATAACTCGTAGTGACTTAAAATAAACAGAACTGTGTTAGTATGTGTTAAACCTTGGCATTATGATAGAATACGATTTCATCTAACATTTGCTTATTTGATAAGCCACATAGTAATACAGTTTTGCTAACTTGATAACTTTTCGAGCATGAATAATTGTTAAATCAGATAGACTAATCGAATATTTAATACTGTGTTGATGTTACTGTGCTTACCTTTCAGCTTGCCTTTTCGTCATTTAGCATCGAAATATTCATGTGTGCGTGCATCAGTACTACTAAGAAGTACTCAAAGAAACGTAGACAGTTATTTGTTGCTCCCCAGATGAATATGAAGGATAATTCTACTGATAGTAATTATTTGAGATCAAGCCACAACTGTCAGAAACCATAAGATATTAAAACAAACTACTTATTTACTGGTGGAGAAATCTTAATCATAGACTTATTTTCGAAGTGTGAGCTGATAAGTTAATCGGAGAGATCATGACATCCTAATTAATAACTAAATCATTGAGCTCAACGACGATGACACAACCATTAACCATGCTTGTTTCGCATTCAACATATCTCTCCTGCGTTCCATATGCTACAAAAGTGTCGTCCACCAAAAATCTGGATTCGCCATATGGACGACACTTTCGTCATCATTAAAAAGGATGACATAGAAAACACCCACAGTTTGATCAACAACGTTTTCAATGACATCAAATTCACAAAGGAGAAAGAGTCAAACAACCAACTACCATTCCTGGATGTTTTAGTCAGTAGGACAAATGCTGAAAAGCTGGAAGCCCAAGTGTACAGGAAGCCAACACACACTTACTGACCAATTCTTCAACTACAATGGCAACAACCCAACGACACACAAAATCAGTTGTGTGTAGACTCTATTGAAAAGAGCGAGAACACACTACAGTACAACAGCCTCACGGAAAACGAAGAAAATTACTTGATGTCCCACGAAACTTTATCAGAAAATGTCTATCCCGTGCATCATCAACTACAAAGTCATCAGAGAAATCAACAAATGCATCGTCCTACCACACATAAAGAATATATCAGAAATCACGACAAGATTACTGAGACCACTGGAATTGGTGTGGCTCATACACCAACAAATTCCCTCCAAACACTATTATCCAGACCAAAGAAGACAAACCGAATATCATTTACAAAGTCAACTGCAATCACTGTAGTCAACACTATATTGGACAAAGTGGCCGCCCTCTTCGCCTTCGTCTACATGAGCACCAATTGGCTATTAAACATCACGATATGTCGTCATTCATTTCAATGCATGTGGATAATTATGGACATGAATTCCGTTTTAGACAATGTAGAAATGTTAGACGGAGAGAGGAAATACAAGAATGTCAGAGAATTCCTAGAATCTTGGCATTCAGCTCAGTCAGTCAGCAATCATTTGATGTGTAGACACAGACCCGATCTATCAACGAATAAGAAAACTGATAAACGATAGAAAGGTGAGAGGTGAAGCAGAGGAACAGCCAACAGGAAAGTGTATACAATCAATGACACAACAATCGAAGGAAACAACCAATCACAGACCACATCGTCTGAGCAAGCTACTTCATACTGAAGTTAGTGCTGATGATGTCGTCTAGCAAGACAATGAAAGCTTCACAATTAAACAGCCAAGCTCAGAGAACACAATACAACCAAGATAAATTCACCAAGCTAAAAAGGAGCCACCTGATTGTGTAATGTAGACATTCTAATCGATGAATTAACTCTTATGGGTTGAATATGAGAAAAATTGTTGCATTGATGAGAGAAAAGAAAATGTGAATCTCGGATAAGTATAGTAAATGGCATTATTCGATTCATTAGAAAAAGTTCTGCATGAGATTTGTTACATAACAATACTGACTAGCTCATTTCGAGAGCTCTTTATTGACCTTTCACTCATTTTCGTACAACTCATGATTTCGAAATAATTCCATGTTATATAAAGTCAATCATTGTGCTTTTTCTATTCATAAATCCTTTAGTTCATTACAAAAGTGTGTTGTAGATATATAATTCAGTTATATGTGTATGAGTGACTCTAGTCACAGACTTAAAAAGACGGTTAGCCTCAGATTTCCTCTTCTATCATACAAGATTGTGAAGTGGACAAAACGAGTGACTCATTGTGTAGGTAAACCTGTTTGTATGAGATGTTGTTTTTATATGGGGAGTGAATCATGTGCAAAGTCAGCGTTAAAAGGCAAAAAACCAAGGAAAGTACGCGATTCAAAATATTACTACTCTGTTGTTACAATACCTATTAAGCTAAATGGTACAGAATTGCAGTGCATCTATTTCCCGTGTTAACTGCTATAGTCACACAGAAGACAGCTGAGTGAAAAATCCCTGACTTCACCACTTAATAATACGGCTTCAGCTTACTTAGGGAACCGCTGTCTCTATATGCTTAAAGACTCACCTTACTAACAAGTTACACAAAGCACAAAGTTTAGGTAAATCTGAGCCTGCTGAAGACTAGCTCCTAACATCCAGTAGTGAAATGGAATAAACCGCAGCACTTAACTTTCTTGGAACATCGCGAACATTAGAGTTAGACTTTCATTGATACTGAACAGTTAGAACTTGATAAATTTACCGGTTACTATTCGGTAAACAATTATAGTACATATAAAGCTACATTCCCATATGTTTTCCAGTTATCAATAAGGGTAATCACTTTATATAATCACATTTCATAAGTTTTCAAACTCGTTACTATCTCGATCTCTCAGATTTTTAGCTCCGTTCTGTAGACAAATACTATTATTATTATTATTATTATTTATTTGTCCCTTGGGTTCCTATTGGAACATACGGCTTCTGTAGCACGTCTCCAATTCACTCTCTTCTCTGAAGTCTCTTCAACCTCGTTCCACGACAACCCACAACATCTCATCTCTCCATGTCACCCTCAACTGGGACACTCAACTCGTCGCTTCCCATCTGGGTTCCACTCGAGCGACTGGTCTGACACGTGATTTCTCCAGTCGGCCTTCTCAGTGTATTCCCAATCCAATCCATCTCCACTTCCTTCCACTGCATATTTGTTCAGCGATAGCTTCTTCCTTCGTTGGTTCATCATCAGCTAGCCAGAGTGAGTTCCTTGTTACTTATTCTTATTATTCTGGCCATCTGATCTTCAATAACGAGCCAGTGTAGCAGTTGTTGATGAATGTCTGTACTTTGTTGCAAATGCCTTTCGTAACACGCCAAGTCTCTCAAACATCACATTGAAGCACTGACTTACTTGACTGGCATTGGTGTTGAAAATCCGGATCTTGTTCCACATGCTGAGTGCATTATGTCTCTACACTGATTTCATATTGATGAACGCCTGTCTTGCTGTCTTTCCGATCCTGTCTCTGACATCCTCATCTGTGCCTGTGCCACCTGTAGTTGAAACAATGCTGACTTCCCAAGTAGGTGAAAGGGACTACTTCGTTTACTTTTTGCCGTTGATGCTCATTGCAGCTTGTTGTTGTTGGTTGGGTATCTTCATCACCTCTGTCTTATCTACATTCGCTTGAAGTCCCGTCTTCACTGCCCTGCCCTGCCCTACCTCTTCTGACAACTTGTTAGTTTTCGCCTGTAGATCTTCTAGTTTGTGTGACATTAGACACAAGTCATCATTGGTGAAGTCCAAGTATTCTAGACTCTTTTCATCGGTCAAACAGTAAATGCCCCTCTTCTCACTCCTCACTGTTTGTTGCATGATCCAGTTGACCACAATCAGCAATGTCATGAGTGATAGTAGGTGACAGTCTTGTTTTACTCTTGTCTTCACTTCAAAAGCATCACTGAGCTTTCCACTGTGAATCACCTGGCATGTCGCATCTTCATATAGTTGTTGAATGAGGTTGAAAAAGGTTTGCGGTATTCCACAGTGTTGAAGCAACTGCCAAATTACTTGTCGGTCAATGCTGTCAAAGGCCTTCTCAAAGTGGATGAAGTTGAGGTAGAGTTGAGTTGACTACCATTTTGTTCTGACTGACTTCTGTTCTATGATGATGCGTGGCGTAGTGCTGCAATTCGGTCCGCACATGATATGTTCTTCCTGAAGCCACCCAGCCTGTTCCGGTCGTAGTTTTGAATCCAGTGCATCCTTTAGTCTCTCCAGGATAATGCGGCTTGATATTTTGCTTGCTTTGGGTGGACAGGAGAGTGATTCCGCGCCAGTTCTTGCAAACACTGAGGTTTCCTTTCTTCGACAGTTTCACAAGGTAACCCTTCTTCCAATCAACCGGCAGGTACCTTCCCTTCCTTCCACACCTTCTGGAATAGTGGTGTGGTGTGAGCATGTCCGCTGTTGTCTCTGCATCTGTTCTCAGTGCTTCTGGTGGGATTTCATCTGGTTCTCCTGCTTTCCTTTATTTCAGTAGCTTTATGGCTTTCAGGACTTCCACTTTTGTTAGAGGATTTATGTTCACTTATAGTTCTGTGGCTGGGCTGTTGGTGGTATTTCTGGACGAAGTGCAGGTGGTGGTGGTGGTGGTGGTCGATTCGACAGCTTCTTGAAGTGGTCGGCCCATCGTTTACTTTCTTTCTCTTCTTTGATACTCAAATTTCCGTCATCATCTTTGATTGGTTTCGTCTGCGTTGATCTCTTCCCTTCCAGATTGTAACCTGGTTATTTGATACAATATTGTCAGGTCTCTGTCTCTCCTACCAGCCCTCAGCCTGTTCTGCTTCACTTGCCAGTAATTCGTAGAAGTGTCTTTTGTCTTTGCGTGCACTCTACTTCTCTTCTCTGTCCAGTGTGGTGTTTTATACTTTTTAATCAGATCCTCTTCTCGTTGTGCATCCTTGCACTGCCCTGTTTCATCTTCTGCTTCACCATCCTCCTCTCCCTGATCTATCAGCTTCCATGTCTCCGTCAAGATCCATTCCTTATCTTCTTCTTCTTCCTTCCTAATACGGCTGTGCAGGTTTCTTTCCACACAGCTTTCAAAGACTTCCAGTGTTCTTCTACACAAGTTTCTTCAGGGATGTTCCTCGATATCTCCAATTTTGTTCTGATGGCTGACGTGAAGATGTCGCTTGTAGTTTTGTCCTTCAGTTTCCGAGTATTGTACTTGAACTGTGGTCTACCACCAGCTTCTTCGAAGGCGTTTTACTTGATTTGGAAGGTTCCTTGCACTAGATAGTGAGTGGTGTGAACCTACATCTGCTCCTCTGCTTCACCTTGTGTCAAGTAGGCTGCATCTCCACTTCCTTCAGATTGAGATGAAGTCCATCTGATTTTTAGTGTGATGTGTCCATCTGATGAAATCCATGTTGCTTTGTGGATATCCTTGTGCTTGAACACACTGCCTCACCTCCAATCACCAAATCGTTGAATACACAGAATTCTGCAAACAATTCTCCATTCTCGTTCATCACCTCACCGAGCGCTTCTCGACCCATGGTTTGTTCTCTTCCTGTGTTGTCCCCTCTCAGTCTGGCATTCATGTCACCCCACTCATTAGAATTTTGATGTCGCCATCTGTGCTGTGGTCTTGTGTGTTGACTGAAGTTGTCTGTAGAATTCCTCCTTCTTCTCTTGCTCTGCATTATTTGTAGGTGCATAGCGTTACATTGTATGACTGTAACTTTCCTTCCTTTCGAGTTGAACCTTGCTGTCATGATGCTGGAGGATAAGATTGGTTCCCACTGCACGAGGGAGAGCCTTCGATGCTTTTCAAGGGGACATCATGATAGCTACTCCATACTCAGTGTGCTCGTGGTTGTCGTCTTGTTGACTAGCTAGTAACTAGTGAACTAGTTAACCAGGAAAGGTTGACAAATACTATTGGTACTATTTAAATAGGGTTTTATGCTTCTTTAATCAAAATGTACTCATAAACTAGATACTAAGCTTATCTACTAAGAATCAACGTATATCCTCATTTAATAACAATGTTTACTGATTTACAATCTTCCCATATTTTTTGAATTCTAGATTTCTATTTTTGTTCATTGTAAGTTCCCATTAAGACATTCCTAATAAAGCTGGTTGAGCACAGGAATATATTCCTTTTAAATTAATTCATCATCTTGAGCTTTATACTAATATACAAGCTTACAATTCGGTCAAAGTACAAACCGTGGGGTTGATAAACAACAACTATAGATTTTAGGTAAGTCATGAAGATGATTAGCCTCAGGAATCAAGATACAACCGTTCGATTCTACTTGCAAGAACTGAAGACAGACTGTTCAATCCAGCCATTTTGATGTTCAGTTCAGCCTTTCCTGTGTTAGATATATTGGACGTATAATGAATCAGCTCCATCGTCGAATTTCTGAACTCCACCCATCTTGGTTGAATAAGGGAAAGATTAAAACAATAAAGAGCTCCATACTTGTAAACTTAGCTAACAGTAGACATCTAGTGGATACTAGGAAAGCATTTGAAATTATTCATCGTAAACTAAATAACTTACCACATGGATTACGCATTCACTTACTTCACTTGGCACAAACGATTACAATTCACCTTTATGAACCTAACTTTTGTTGTGTAAAGAATTTGTCCAACCACTTTCATTACTGAAAAACCAACACGACGTAACTCCTAGTATTACTTTGTACTTCTCTTCCTCCTCTTTCATTCATCAATATTCAGTTGCTCTCTTATTCTTGCATTATTATTTACTGACCACTCAACAAAAAGCACTACATTCACTCTACCAGTTATAATTACGCCACTTAACCTGTTTCACATTATTATAATTACTATTTTGAGTCATGTATAACTACACGGTTGATTATGCGTATCTTGATTTCTCAAACGTATCATCTTCATAACTTACTTAAAAGCTGTAGTTGTCGTTTATCAACCCTCCACCACTTGGCATTTTGTCTAAACTGTAAGTCTATATATTAATGTGGTGTCAAATATGAAGACCTAACTGGAGAGAAATATATTTCTTCACTCAATGATCCTTCTTTTATCATTTTTACCGCTCATAAATCTGTTGCTGAATGTATATTCATTACGTCAACTTCGTTAATATGGGCTATAGCAAAATACATTCACACAACTTAACTGTGAACCGGCTGGACTAGCAGAACATATACTCCAATCTACGAGTAATTCTTACGTTTATCTTTGAATGCAAAGACATCAATCGAAAGCGTTTCATAATTCATAGTGCTTGTTAGTCCACATTCCTACATTAATTAAGTTACCATAGTAATAAGGCTGTAAATTTTCATGGAAGTACTCATCATGGATTGACATCATTTGGAGAACCATTAAAAAGCTAGAAACAATTGACAGTCGTGTATGGAACTTCTCAACAATACGAACTCCCAACTCTAAATTTCGCAAACATCTCGACTGTTCCACAAATAGGGGTATTGTGATAATCTAAAGTTGAACAAATTTGGCTCACCACTCTGGAAATAACGTCATAGGTATATATATGTAGATATATGCATAGAAACCCGGTAGGTAATCTAATGGCCAATTTCAGTTGATTGTTCTTATGAAACATTAAACTCTCAAGCATTTCGACTAGTATTCAGTAAAAATAAGAAATTTGAGGTGAAAATCTTCCATATCAGTGGTCAGTAACTTGAAATACTAATTTCATTGCTTGATACTGTCTTGTTAGTTATCCAGAGGTAAGTAGATTAAAACTAACGTTTTATTTCTATCTAGGAAAACTGTGGCCACAAACTAGCATCTACTTGGTATTAATACTAATGAAATCTTACAGGTTAATTGAAATTTAATGTTCACAGTTTTACCAGCTTTCATATCTTACCTTTGGACTGGTCATCGTACTTCCTCGTGATTCATTCTCCTTATTCTCATCTACTGTAAAGTTAAATAAAGCCGATTATTAAATAATCATATTGTTATTATTATTATGATTACTCATAACTGATTACTCACTTACACTATCCATGTCTCGACAATTTTACTTATTAGTATTTTTCCCTTGAGTTCCTAGTGGGACATAGGGTTTCGGTAGCACGCCTCCATTGAACTCTCTTCTCTGCAGTCTTTTCAACCTGGCGCGACGACTGCCCACAAGCTTCCATTTCTTCCTCACATGGTCTTCGTCAGTTGGGACTCCCAACTCGTTGTTTCCTCTTTGGAGTCCACTCGAGGGCCTCTCCTGACACATAATGTTGCCGAATGGTCTTCTCAGTGTATACCCAATCCAATCCATCTCCACTTCCTTCTGCATATTTGTTGGGCGATCGGTTCGTGGTCGGTTCGTTCCCAGAGTTCCTTGTTGCTTATTTTTTCTGTCTATCTGATCTGATCTTCAGTATAGAGCCAATGTAGACAGTGTTGATGAATGTGTGTATTTTTTTGGAGATGCTTTTCGTGACACGCCAAGTTTCTGAAGCATATAGCAGTACTGACTCCACATTGATGCTGAAAATCTGGATCGTGTTCTTTGCGCTGAGTGCAGTAGACCTCCACACTAATTCAGATTAGTGAAAACCTGTCTTGCTTTTCCGATCCTGGTTTCGACATCCGTCTTGACAATAATCTGCGCCAATACATTTACATGGTAAGCACCACTTTACAATATCCGTAAAAACTAATTGAAATTTCGTACAAAACCTGACTATTAAATATTAGTCGAAAGTTGTAGACCAACATTTTATTCATGATAAAGCTTATCAGTGTGGTCTGTCGGCGGAATCAGTAAAACTTATCCTCAATGTGTGAAGACGTGGCTGATTAGTTCAAGCTTTCATCCTTTATATCGGATGGTGTAGGTTAAGGTCTTGCTCAAACTATGGACAGAAAAACAGTTTCACTAACAGTCGATTTTTAGCACGACTTACAGTGAAGTTTAAACTAACAAACTTCACCGTAATTTGATTACTATAATTTGTTTGGTTGTGGCTAGCAGAGGAATCCAGGATGCGCTTTTTGTCCTATTCAGGACTCGTCAGTTGGATGTACCTGCACTCGAGTAGTCCCGTTCTCGATTTAATGGCATGGAAAAAGAGAAATATAATGAACCAACGGCTCAGGAATCACGATTATGGATACTCATAACCACTTACTAATTATTCATATAAAAACAAGACTTCAATGGCTTTTGAGGTTATATACTCCATACTCCTACTCGGAGTGCTAATTTATTTCGAATTAGAAGTTAGGGTGAAAGGTTGTAATTTCGCATTGTGATCCCTACTCCAACACGAAAGCACACTCCAAACTTCGTTGCTTATTCTTAAAGAAGGAAACCTGTTTAGTTGGTTTCAATGAGTTACTTGGATAAAATTTTCATATCCTTGTATCTTAAGTTAAATAAGTTTCTAATACCTGGATAACAAACTCCTTTTCACTACTTAGAAAAGTGTTCTGTACTAGTGTTCACTTGATTGATTAATTAATTCTAGAATAAACATGAATTTGATTGGTTATCAACAACACCTTGTTGAATTGGGACACTCAGCACCTCAAGATTCATCCTTTAAAATAATTTACAAAGTTAAATTGAACTACTCAAAAAGTTTACGTTTCCACCACTTATGCATAGCTGAAGCATTAGCTTTACATGAACAAAAACCGAAATTTTGCATTCAAAAACTTTTTGTGAAACCACTTTCTCTACCTTGGCCTTAACAATTCATTTTGTTGATTTTGTCAGCTTTAAGTTCACTTCACTTTGGTATACTTCTCTTCTATTATCATCATCATTATTTCAAGTTGTTATTCATCGTAGACTGACATCAGTTGGATGAACAAAGGAAACCTGGGAGCACTGGACAGCTGTTTCGTCCGACTAGTATGGGACTCCTCAGCAGGCTTTCATTAACCTGAAATCAGTGTGGTGATCGACTGCACTCAGCATAAAGAAAAATATCAGGATTTTCAACACTGATGTCAGTCAAGTCAATGCTTTTGTGTGATGGTTCAGAAACTTGGTGCGTCACGAAAAGCATTTCCAACAAGCAACAGACATAAATCATCAACAGCTTCCACCTACACTCACTCTATACTGAAGATCATATCAGATGGCCAGAATAATAAGATGAGCAACAAGGAACTCTGGCAACGAACCAACCAAGAACCTATTGCTCAACAAATATTCAGAAGAAAGTGGAGATGAATTGAGCTGACTGGTGACATCGCGCGCCAGGCCAGGTCGTCGATTGGAATCCAAATGGGAAACGACGAGTTGGGTGTCATAGCTGAGGGTGAAATGGAGGAGATGATGTGAGGAAGAAATCAGAGCTTGTGGGCAAACGTGGCGCCAGGTTGAAAAAATTGCAGAGAACAAAGTGGAATAGAGATGTTCTACTGAAGCCATATGTTCCACTAGGAACCCAAGGGATAAATAGTAATAGTAAATAAATACAATCTCCTCAGCTATTCCCATAAAGCATTTATTTGGAAAACAGGGAACTTAATTTTTTTTGAATTTACAGCAAAAACTTCAGGGTAAAGGTCACATTTACATAAATAGGCTTAAGAAACTTGTTTCAATCCAACAATGTTACTCAAAAATATTTTGGTTATGAATGTTTTAAGTAATGAAGTGACTGTATTGAAAACCGGATAAACTAATCTCCATAACTGTACTACGCTGTAAAAATGATAATTGCACCAGTTACAATTTTACTACCATTCCATCAATCAATACACATCAACCTTTGTTCCTCCAACTGATGTCAGTCTACGATGAATAACAATTTGAAATAATTCCAAATCTCCACAACTCCCTCAAAATTTAATTGAACTGATGCTCATTGGTGACTAGCTTCGAGAAGTATTCCCGAAGTTCCAATGACAAGTCGTGACCGGTGGAGTCAAAGCCTGATGGCCATGAGGACAAATACTCAACGATGACATTGGGTGGCGGTTGCGCTATATATCGTGAGCTAACAGAAGTTGGAAATATGGAGCATTGGATTCTGACCCAGTGGCTCAATGGTAACACGCTGGCCGCGGAACCTGAAGGTCGCGGCTTGGATCACTTGTGGTGTGGGGTCGTGGGTGCGCACTGCTGAGGAGTCCCATACTAGTCGGACGAAACAGCTGTCCAGTGCTCCCAGGTTTCCTTTGTTCATCCAACTGATGTCAGTCTACGATGAATAACAACTTGAAATAATTCCATATCTCCACAACTCCCTCAAAATTTAATCATCATTATCACCAATTTTCTCTTCATTTACAACACTCGAACCATATTTCATTCTTTAATATCATTGACCTATTGTACACGTTTCAGATTAATTATCACCGTTTTACAATTCTTTGACAGCACTTGTCGCTTATCTCACCACTTGTTATCAATTCGTTCCTCCTTATTCAGTGACCCATTTTCTATCTCTTCCACTTGAACAAATACCACCACCTACACCGATTGTATATTTTGCATATTGACTGAGCAACTCTTTTCAGTACAATTATCTGTCACTTTACTCAGTACAGCTTGATAATGAAGTCGTTGAAAAGAAATATTTCTTCACTGATACATGCCTTGTTCTTGTTAATGAATAAATAGGTATATTTCGTCATTTCCACACTTTATAAAAGATGATAAGCTGTTTGAGGAAAGGAAAGTGTAAAAAGCAAAAGTTATTCAGGACTACCTAGTAAACTGAATTGAATTGGCTACCTATTTTTGGGGGAATTTTTCAAATAATCCCTCAGTATAAGCTAAACCAACAAACCTGTTTACGTAGATAATTAGCCTGGAATCGTACTTAAGGGATAACACTCTCGTATTTAGTTCACACTGGCCTGAATGGTAAACAAGATTCATATCATTCAGTCAGATAGTTGATTTTCGTTTCACTTATTTATCCAATATGATTATGTATGAAACAGGAAAAGATAAACTATGATTGATACTGCTTACTTCTGGCTGATCTAGTATTTCTTAAGGGTATATTCAATCTGAAATAAAATTGTAGAAAAAAAATGGTTTGTTTGCGTCTAAGTGATATGATTAATTAAGTACACTTATGAGTTTAAAATGTACAAAGATTTAGAATGGCTTGTAGGTTTACATATCCAGACTTCCATTGTGTGTATTTGCTGTTTGTAAAACTATACTTGGGAAATTTTCTACTTGCGGAATCCATGGAACTCATTTTATTCCATTCCAGATATTATGAGTAAGATACACTTACATCTTTCTTCTTTATTAAGGCAACCTTTTCATTCTTCAGTGTGAGTTATTTGTTATTAGAATTTTCGATCTCCCCTACTGCTGACCTAGCATAGATCACTTTCTAATAGTATACAGGCTTCTATCAAACCAATTTAGAGGCTTGTGAGGATCTTACTGATTCCAGAATGATATTTATCATCGACTGATATCAGTTGGAAAAATATTTGAAACCTGGGAGCACTGGACTGTTGTTTCGTCCTAGCAATGGCTTCTTCAGTAGTGCACACCAGAAATCGAACTCAGGATATTCGTGTTCCACATCCAACACATTACCATTGGGCCACCGAGTTGTACTTCAGTGGTCCATATTTCCGGCTTCTATCAGTCCACGATATAACGCAACCATCACTCAATATCATGGTTGATTATTCGTCCTCAAGTCCACCCGGTTTGCCCCACAGGTCACAACTTCTCATTGGAACTTCAAGAATCACCTCTCGAAACTAGTTACAAATTAGGATTAGATTAAAGCTTATAATCAAAAGCAATTGCGTATTTATACTTCATATCCTCCGAACCATTGAATTAAATGATAAATGTGTTAAGAAAAGATTGCCTTACAAAAGTGAACCTAGTGGATGCTATTATGCCTTGTTCTGACACTGGCTTATGTGAAGTGACCAAATGAAGGTTGAGGAAGTTTCAGAAAAATATACCAAAGGTATAACAAATAGTTTTGAAAAATGTTTGTTTTAGGAATAGACAGGTAGACAGGTCCTGTGTTGTTATACCAGTGAACCTGAGCCACGTTCAAACATTCAGTTAACTCTTGCTACGAATGTAAAGCCCATTGAGAGATTCAAGTCTCTGTCTTCTTCACACACACACACTCAACCGCATCAAATCGTATTTACTTCAAGAAAATAAAAATAATAAGCCGCAAGCATAAAGTAGCCAACAACTGAAACAAAGAATGTATAAATGATGAAAAATTATCTCTAGAAAATGGTCTACTGATGTGAACCCCCTAGTGCTCAGAATGTCTTAATCCTGAGTATGAGAACAGTGTACGGTCACCCAGTTCTTCAATCTGACACTGTTCATTGGTTAACTTACATCTGATAGCCGAGACTAGCTGACAGACTCATTATCTCTATGAAAATAATCCAGAAAGTGAACATATTTGTCAGTGTAAAGTGCTGGCAGTCAGTTTTGCTTGAGGTAGATTTCATGCTTGTTATTACTCGTCAAACTAATGTGACATTAATATATCTTCCTGCAGTAATGAACGGCATACGCCATAACACTCGAGAAGATTATGTGAAAAATGTGATGTATTTACGCAATACATTTCGAACAATCTAATCACACATTCACTTGTCAAGTCAATTTATATATGAAAATTAAAGGTCAAATATAATGAAATCGAAAAGGTTGTGACACTAGTCTTGGTAATATAATCAGATTGTCAAGGATTACCAAGGTAAATTGAGTGAAACAACAAACTGTTTTTGTACACACAGCGGGGGATTACGTTTACGAATGGCTAACGTTTCGGCACACTTCATTCAGTATGCGCCCCTGATTATTCCTGTATAATATCTTAAACGCTGTTTTCGTATTAACCCTGTGATTCATTTCAATAATATGTTTTGCTATAGATGACGATACATGTCTGTCACCTACACTTATCAAAAATTTTGTGTTTAATTGTTTTTCTAGCTATTTGGGGATGTGTTCACCCACCGTAGTCTGCATTGAACGATTACTCCTGCCTATGTATGTGTGCCCACACATACATGTAAATTGGTAAACACAGTAGGATGTGATATGATCATTTGTGCTAGGTTGACGTTTAATTCCTTGAAACTCATGGGATCTAATTTTCCAAATCTATATGGACTTCCAAAAATTCACAAAATTGATAATCCACTACGCCCAATATTGCCAATGTGTCAGTCTCCCACACATGAATTGGTGAGATGGTTAGCCGAATTACTGAGCCCGATTCGTAATGATTTATGTAAGTATTCACTGGAAGATACGTTTGAGCTTGTTGATTATCTTACTGATTTGAATATTAAAAATAAGAAAATGTATTCTTTTGATGTTAACTCTCTGTTTACAAATGTGCCTCTAACGAAGACAATTAATATTCTTTGCGACCACATATCTTCGAATTATCCTTCTTTCCCTTTTCCTTCAACTTATTTGAAAGAACTCCTTTTATTATGTACTGATAAGGTTCATTTCACTTTCGAAGGTGAACACTTTCGGTAAATTGATGGTGTATCCATGGGGAGTCTATTAGGATCGTTATTAGCTGATGTATATATGTCACATACTGAACCAATGGCTCAAGATCTAATCATCAATGTCACACTCTATAGAAGGTATGTGGATGATATCTTTGTAATATGTGACACAGATGAGGATGCCAAGAGGTTGTTAAAAAGGCTTAATACCGTACAAGATCATATCATTCTGACATGTGAGGAAGAAAAAGACCATCAACTTGCATTTCTTGATATACTGTTGTGCCGGAGGGAAGATGGATCTATAAGATGATCAATATATAGGAAGTCTACTTGGACAGGACAGTATTTGAATTTCCATAGTTTTTGTCCGATGAAATATAAGAGAGGCATGGTAAGATGCTTGTTCAATAGAATCCAATGTACTTGTGCATCTGATACGATGGATGATGAGAATAAGTTTCTGACAGACACTCTAGTGGAAAACGGTTATCCATTACAATTTGTCAACCATTGTAAAAAACAGCTAACCCCAAAGCCTGTAGTTTCCTCGGTCGTGAAGAAAAGCATATTTCTGAAAGTATCATACAGAGGGGAAACAACTAGTATGATATTGAAGCAGAGGTTAAAATCTGTTATCAATAAAACATACTATGCAGCTCAGCTTATCATTGTTGAGATGACAAAACACCTGCTTCACCACAAACCTCAACCTCGCACAAATGATTACATCACATCCTACTGTGTTTACCAATTTACATGTATGTGTGGGCACACATACATAGGCAGGAGTAATCGTTCAATGCAGACTACGGTGGGTGAACACATCCCCAAATAGCTAGAAAAACAATTAAACACAAAACTTTGATAAGTGTAGGTGACAGACATGTATCGTCATCTATAGCAAAACATATTATTGAAATGAATCACAGGGTTAATACGAAAACAGCGTTTAAGATATTATACAGGAATAATCAGGGGCGCATACTGAATGAAGTGTGCCGAAGCGTTAGCTATTCGTAAACTTAATCCCCCGCTGTGTGTACAAAAACAGTTTGTTGTTTCACTCAATTTACCTTGGTAATCCTTGACAATCTGATTATATTACCAAGACTAGTGTCACAACCTTTTCGATTTCATTATATTTGACCTTTAATTTTCATATATAAATTGACTTGACAAGTGAATGTGTGATTAGACTGTTCGAAATGTATTGCGCAAATATATCACATATTTCAGATAATCTTCGTCTTCTAATTACGCTGTCGAAATTAAATGGTAGATATTCCAACTAACAAACAACGAAAAATCATCAAAAGATGGACTATAACTTACTGATTGCCTAAAACGTAACCATAACTCGAAGAAACTGGACGTATTCTACCGAGAATTAATTTCACCTCATTTGTGATATTTTCAATTTTTTCAATGGCATTATAAACAACCGTCTCTTTGTGTTTTTCATCTTCTAGCTGGCATTCTTCATCAATATCATAATCATCTTCATTGTCACTCTCAGTTGATATTTTCACCTGAGAAGTCTGTAAATTGCATACTTCTAATACTGTATCATTTTGATGACTGGATACTTCACTTAGTTCACCTTTACTTTTATCATTTTCAAACCGAACTGATTTACAAACATCGTTTGTGGTAATATCTATTGGAATTTGAACAGTCTCTGGTTGTTTCATGACATCAACATTAGTATGGCTATTGAATGTTCTTATGAAGATTTGTTTACCAGGTAATAGCTGCTTGAATATATTCTGTAAGTAAAGCAGAAATTGTGTGTAAATTGTTTTTTATCATGATACACAGAGATAACTTCCCTTTTTTTAAAAACTAGATTAGTTTGAAGACTTTGGATGGTAACAGATTCTATGGATTGTTTTAATGAATAAACATCCTAATAAACTGCTAGCTGGTACATTTTTTGATCCTTACCCGTTATCTAAGATTTTCTCTCAGATAAGTATCTATCCCAGGAGTTTATTTGGATTACGATTATCATTTTTCTACCATGAAACATGTCTGCAGTCGGTTTTGTGCAGCTACTGATAGACGATGTTGCTGTTTAGCTTAAACAATACAGATGAAAGTTTTGATATAGATTTCAAATGGTTTCAGCAGTTCTATAGAAATTGAAAACCACTTGCATTCATCTGAACGTTTCGCTAGGCAAATCGGTGTGAATTAGACATAAGACAAACATTTCTATCACTTGTAGCCAACTTATTCGGTGATTAACTTAAAAATATTCACCTCAAAAGGTCAAATCTTACAGATAAACTGAAGGTTAATGACAGGGACATAGATAAGCTCCAGAAGGGGCACCTAGTTTGTTTTCTATTCTGAAGGCCAGCAGTTCACTTAATTTTATTGTACTAGGCTGCTGATTTTCGTTTTATTTCAAGAACTAAAGTTGATTATTAGGGAAGAGAATACAGTATCCTTCTTCATTAGTATAAGGGTTTTTATATGATACCGTCGTTGATTGGGCCGAATTGATCGGTCTCCATTAGCATATGGGCTCCTATGAGGATGCCTCGAAATTGCCAGCAATCTGATTATGTTAAGGATGGATCTTGGCCAGCAGTGGAATCCAGGATGCGCATTTCGTCCTGTTTGGGACTAGTCAGCTGGATGTACGACGGTATCATATAAAAACCCTTATACTAAAAACTATACCCGTCGCACAAGAAGTGACTATCGTGACTCAGTGGTGTAGTGGATAACGCGCTGGCGTCCGAAGCGATCGCTCCTGAGTCCGAGTCCTGGTGGGGACAACACTCACTGGGAAGCAGGTATATCCAGCTGACGAGTCCCAAGTAGGACGAAATGCGCATCCTGGATTCCACTAGTTGCCACGATCCATCCTTAACATCCTCCTTCATTACCTCTGTATTATATCGTTATAACTATACTGTTGCTAGTTGCAATGTGTAGAACCGATTCTAACAATGCATTTGTCTAATCGACTAACACAATGAGAGCACAATTCTTGTAAAGGCCATAAGACTACATGAATAATGTATTCACCAGAAATGTATGAAAATGCACAAAGTCCAAAGAACTTGGGTGACCAGTCGAGTTGTCACAAGTAACAATTAATGGATAGACCAGTCTAATGTTTCATAATGCGAACATCGGTCTTTATCCCCAAAAGTTCCGTTAATGGTTAGGTAGTCATGGATGAACACTCTAGTAGTCGAAATATGCTTGCGTTTGCCAGGCTTGAATTATCATTATCATCGACTCGTTTGAAAACACTTTGTGGTTACTTTTTATCCAGAAATATCGTTCGTAAGCTGACATTTGGTTCTGTAGTAAAGTACTCATTTGAGAAACTGAATTAAATAAGAAGATTCAAACTGGAACAAGGACTTTAACAGGGTATTAAATAAGTTTAACATGGAAGATTGAGGGAACATGCAACATAAGTAAAGAAAGTTTGGCCAAATGCCAATATGAATGGTTTTAGCTAAGTTTCCGAATCATCAGAGGAGTTATTCAGGTATTTAACAGTTCACTGGGTTTCAGTCTAAGAAATTTAGCCATAATAATTTGTCTTCCCACTGCGATTTCAAAATAGTGAATTATTTTCCTCTTTTAACTGAAAGGCTGCAAAGCATATGCAAAACGTTTGTTGCACAACAGCGCATTCTGTCTGAACGTATTGCCATGAAATATGGCCAGTAATGATTGGGTATTTTCTTGGATATGAGACATTCACATATCATGGATGCGTTTTGAGGTACCTTCATGTTAGTAGTACTGAAATTAGACTTAAGTCGTTGGTTAAGGGTATTTAACTGATTGATAAAGTCATGAATTTTCATCGTTTGAGTAGGCTTAAACATGTATTACACATAGAAAGCCATCGTCCCAAGTGTTAAATGGTCATCAGAATAGAGCAAGTTTGGGGGAAGTTGAGATCAATACACCTGAACATAGTACTAATACAGGAATTCACTGAAGCAGAATCAAGATATTTTATTTGGTATCTATAGGACAAACAAAGTATATGGTGGGAGGCATTCGATGATATAGGATACATCTGACTTCAGTGTTGCACAAACCTAAATCTTATCTTCCTCTAAATATTGAGAATATGATCAATAAAAGTCCTTTTTAGATTCATAGCGTTTTGTTTCTGCATCTGACGTACAAATGACTACTGAAATCACTATCATTCTCTCTCTTTCTTTCATTCGATTAAGTTGATTCCAATATGCTGATGTAAATTGTATCAGGGTGATCGGATAAGCAATTACTTTTAACTATATGTGTTAGTAACTGTCTACCAGAGATCATTTGTTACAAGAATTTCGACTGTTTAACTCATTATTGTGCTAAAAGTCCTAAATTTCGTCAACTTCAAAAGTTTACTGAGTCATTAGATGAAGTTTATGCTGACTTAACTTCCATTCTTTTTCCTAATCAATGATCAACTTTCTATATATCGCGATCTTATTCATTATTCTTGGTAGTATTCACTTCACTGCTGACTTGATTAATCCCACATTTCACGACGGCCTATCAGTACTTCAATTCTTGACGAAAGTCTACCTTAAAATCGAGGACTCTTTAAAAATATGAGAGAAGAACAAATATTTCAGCAGACGGTCTCTTTTTGGCTATTTTATTTCCAAAGAAGTATAATCGTAAATTTATACAATTTTTTCTAGTATAAGAATTTGATAGTTAAAAGCGGTCTGTCAAGCTTGGCGACAAAAATATTGCCAATGTATGAGCTGTCATTAAAAAGAGCATAGAAACAAGAAAGAATAGCAAATTACTTGAAGAGTGAGCAATGTCAAAAAAGGAAAAGGAGATTTCAAAGACTGAAAATTAAGATCATGAAAGGAGAAAGGATCGAACAATCTTCTTTTGCGTACAAAGTTCAGGTTTCTCTAGATGGATGATAAGAGCTGCGTCGATGCAGAGAATACAAAGACATACAGTCTTTGGAAGGCTTCTTCTCACTTTATAGATGACTTTATACAGGGAGGTTCTTGAGATGGAGTGACTCGTGTTCACAATTTTTCAGTCATAACACTCCTTATCACTTTATTGTTGTCTCTTTTTAACCAGGTAAGTTAGTGCTCTTGAACCCTTTTGGATGGCAGTCTCATCGAACAACCTACATACCTGACTCCACAAGAGCAGGTGAGTGGATATACGCGCATAAGTGGTCAGATGAGAAAGATTTTCCTTTGAGTTGTTAGAAATCGTTGAGTGGCGAGACAATACTCATCTCAGCGTTCATCCAAGGAGCGTTTTCCTTACAATATTTGATATCCTCACCTTTAGGGTATTAGCAAATTAATCGCTTATGAAATTTAGATTCATATGGAGGAAGATGCCCACCGACGATACTGGACCACGGTTAGGCTTATGGTGAATTGACAAAAGTAGTAGGTAGTGTACTACTGGGTTTCAAACCATTTGTAACGTGTTTAATGCAAGACATGATAGTTCTGAGCTTATCCCCTCGTAGGGCTGTAGGTGTGCATTGTTGAGAATTTATAAATTAGAATGACACAATTTTCCAGGGCTTTCGAGTTTTTAGTGGTGTCCTGATTTATAGTAATCTGTAGTGATTACTTTGACTTAGGTTAAAACAGCTGGAGAAGAGATTAAATTTTGACACATTAAAGTGGCTTTCAAATTGTATTTAAATCAGATATGGGTATGGACCAGTTGTACGGAGCGAACTCGTGTTTTGTCATTAAAAAATTCATGCATACAAACTGTTGAATTAGTTAGCCGAAGTAAATTTAGTTGAATCAAAGACCACCCCATTACAGTTTGCCTCCAGACACTATATGTTTCAACAGTATATTTTCAGTGAAGTTAAGCAACGATAACCCAATGGTCATAGAAACTTATGATGATAACTGAATAGTAGTCATGTAGGTTGATATTTTCTTCGTCATTTATAATGAAAGTCTGATTGAAGGTTCTACAATAGACAGGTCACTGTCGACAATACTTCCGAAGCAAAATACTAGAAGAAATATACTATTGATTGTATGTGTTAAAGATATCTGATATACAAAAAGTAATCTTTACTTTTCCTGCCTGCACCATGTGTAATTTGAATCGTTGTTTGTCGTCACTCTTTCCATCTTCCGTGTACGATTTACGTTTACCACTCTAAATAACACTTTGCCAAGTGACTTTTCTACGTAATTCGATAAGATGTCTCATTCGTCTGGCTCCAACGTATTATTATTACATATAAATAACAAACTGAAGCACGTATCTGATGCAGTTTAATTGAAATAAGTCTCTTCAGTTTAACTGTTGCTTTGTCCTTTGCGTAAGCCAAATGAATTTGAGCAGGAAACCATCATTCATTCAAAAACGTGACTACAATTAGTATTATCACGGTTCCAGTACAATATAAACACACAGTTTGTGTGTTTATATGTTCAAAATGAAAATTTCTAGATCAAAGCATATGATTTTAGGTAGGTTAAAGAAATTCACCATGTTTGTTGGTTGGAGGCAATCGCTAGGAAGCCCTGAATCTCAACTTCATGCTTGTTGTCACTCAACAGAAAGGCATATCTGCAGCCTCAAAAGATGTCATGTCTGAGATTCTCCACGTCTCTGTCGATGCAGTCGTGTATGTCTGCGTGTGTGCGTGTGTGTACCGAAAGAATATGCAAAAGGTGTGAAGTTTTTATCTATTTTCAACTTACTATTTCTTCACAACATTTCAGTGGACTAACTCGATTCCCAACGGATTCTTTTCCTTTATACAGCATATCTACATCATAATGCCACTGTTTCAGTTTACTTTCAACTTGGCTGATATTCTCAGAGCATGTCTCCCAATCATATAGACAGAAACCTGTTTAGGAAATAATAGTGAGATATGTAATAGTTATGGTAATAACAAGCGTTCTTACGAGTATCTATGTTTCATGCAGTAGGGAAAACTCCATTTCTTTTGGTTAGTAGAAGAATAGTGTTTATGCTAGAGTGAAAATGTGACATATTAGCTCAAGGACCAAACTTGCGAACAACAAACTTCAAATTTTCAACTCGGCTTAACTCTCATCTCATGTTGTATCTAGGTTGTATTCAGACACATGTATACTGTGCTATTCACAGCCCTGCAAAGAAGCTTAAAATAGATTGCTGAGTAAGATTACTTCACTACAAGTAACTTTAAAAAGTCTATCATGATATCTAAATCACATTTCAATCAGCCAAATACCTATCGGTAATGGATAAGTGATTTTCTCATGAAAATTTATGAATTCTGAAGTGAAGTCCTTAGCGGACATGACATCTCTTAAGATCAAGAACAACATATTCAACGAAGAGACTCTTTTCAACGAATTCATCTTCAAGCTATAGATGATATTTGGGAAAAATTATATCCCGTGAGGAAAACTAAACACTATATGGTGATGACAATAATAATAGAGCGGATGATGACATAGGCATTTATGATTATAATAACAATTGAAGTGCGAATGATAACAAATAGATTTTGAGGGAGTTGTGGAGATTTGAAATATTTCAAGTTGTTATTCATCGAAGACTGACATCATTTGGATCCCTGCTGGTGGAGTCGTGGGTGCACACTACTGAGGAGTCCTATACTAGGACAAAACGGCTGTCCAGTGCTCCTAGGTTTCCTTTGTTCCTCCAACTGATGTCAGTCTTCGATGAATAACAACTTGAGATAACAAATGGATTACGTAATATATGTGGAATGGTACATGGAGAGGATAAAACTGAGAACGGGGTGAAAAAATTGTTGAAAATGGTAAATCAATTAAGTATTATGTAATGGTATTAGACAAGTTGGACAAGATGAAGTCAATGTTTTCTAGAAGGATTAAGACAATTAAGTGAAACAACACCGGAAACTAGTTAAAGTGAAGGTGATTATAATAACAATAATAGTGTAGTACAGCAATAGTGAACAGGATATGTCATTCCTACATCATTTACATCATTCTCCACAATGATAATAAGCGGTTAAAAAGATACATCAAAGTTTATCATTGGATAAAATTTCAGTCTATGCCGATTAAACAGGATACTTTAGTTTATGTTGGACAAGTGAATGAAAAAAAATTTATACTCAGTTTGTACACAACTAAAGAACATTCACACATCCGGAAATTTACCAACTCTTCTGTCCATAATTAAAGTGTCAACAAGGTCATCTTAGAATAGGTTATTAAAACCTTTTGTTCAAAACGATCACATGGAATATGTTTAACTTTTAAACATCTCTAAAACATTTTGGTTGGTCAATTTAAAACAACTACCGGTTAACGCCATACCATAAGCAGTAAAACTTTTAGAGTATTCTAGGGTTGGAGTAATAAAAGAAAAAGGTGTTTCTGATATCAATGGAGTTATTGTTATTGTTATTAACATGGCATAAAGGTAACGTTAAAGTCGGTAGACATGAAAAAAAGTGTTTTTACTATTCACTAAGTAAACGTGTATATTCCAGTGTTCTAATATTGTCATTTGTTTTGTGTATACTTGTGCACATGCACGTGTTCAAACAAGGAAATGACTCAGAGAAGGCAAAATTTATTTACTGTTAATAATACTTCCGATATCTTTCTTCTTTCTTTTTGTATAATAAGGTGGTAACTCAGAGTTAATTTTCACAGCTTCTGTTTATCATACAGAAATCGAGCTATGACTGGTTAAGTATTTGAAAAGTTTTATTATGTAGAAAGTTCTACAGAATGCCATATCCATTAATAAATCACTTAGAAACACGATGAAGGATTTAGCAATTGAGTTTAATTGTTTTACTAAATACTTAAATGCATTTGAATAATGCAGAAAGTATTCAAGACTATACAAAACTATTAGATAATGAATGATAAGAAATATTCCTTTAAAGAGGCCGAAAGAACTTCCAAAGCTGTCATCTTAGACAAAAAGTAAGACAAAATTCCTGTTGCTGTAATTATAAATACATTATTTGTCCCCTGGATTCCTAATGGAATATACGGCTTCATTAGCACGTCTCCATTCCACTCTCTTCTCTACAATCTTTTCAACCTGGATCCACAACTGCCAAACCTCTCATTTATTCCTCACACCATCTTCTCAATGTCACTGTCGCCTCGGACGGCCAAATCGTCGTTTCCCATCTGGGTTCCACTCAAGTGCCTCACCTGGCTAGTGATGTCCCTGAATCGTCCTCTCAGTGCATGCCCCCCCCCCCTCCCTCTCCCACTTTGTTAATTTAACCTTTGTATCCTTCCTTTATCACTATTATTGTTATTATAATCGCCTTCACTTCAACTAGTTTCCGGTGTTGTTTCACTTAATTGTCTTAATCCTTTTAGAAAACATTGACTTCATCTTGTCCAATTTGTCTAATACCATTACATAATACTTAATTGATTTACCATTTTCAACAATTTTTTCACCCCGTTCTGAGTTTTATCCTCTCCATGTACCATTCCATATATTACATAATCTATTTGTTATCATTCGTACTTCAACTGTTATTATAATCACAAATGCCTTTGTCATCATCCGCTCTATTATTATTGTCATCACCATATAGTGTTTAGTTTTCCTCATGGGATATAATTTTTCCCAAATATCATCTATAGTTTGAAGATGAATTCGTTGAAAAGAGTCTCTTCGTTGAATATCTTGTTCTTGATGTTACAATGGGAATTATTAAATTATCTCTTAAGATATCAGAAAAGACGTAGCACAGGATATAGACCAGTTTGGTTAACCAATTCATTTATTTATTCACATTATGAAAGTCAATCTAAGGTTTTATACCATTCCATTTGATAGACTCTTAATCAAAAGTCAGGATATCTGTTCAAAGTGTTAATTTCTGTAACTGTGCCAATTTTCCTGCTAAATAGCCCTGAGGCTATGTAGCAGTTATCAGTTTTCATCTATCTATTCAGAAATAAAATTTCACGAAAATCTCCGAAAATAACTGTTTTTAAATTTTCGTATGACATTTCGTATTGCTTCCCAAATGTTTTAGTGTATCATTTGTCGTCTCCTTTTCAAAGGACGTTGAAGCAACCTTGACGTAGGAATTATTCTCTGATTTCAAACTTCTACTCATTACTTAATAGATATTTCATTCAGTTTTCTGAATTCTCTATCAGATGAGGAATTGTTTACACGTCCAATGTTTCACTTTCTAAATTACTTTACTGACAGAAAGTATACAAATAAGTGCTTAGTATTTCTCAGCAAATGATGTCTATCTGAAATTTAAAGCGGCTAAAGAGAATCCACTGTGAATTCTATTCAACTTGTGCTATCAGTAGCCTTGATCACTCAGCCGTTATGTATTCAGTGTACTAATTAAAATGGTGGCTGATTTTCTCTTAATAGGAACATAATTTTGAGACAGAATAGTTTACAAAAACTGGAATACAACACTAGAAGAGATAAGTGTTGAAATGAGAAAATGATACTTTATGTGATTCACAAGGAAAAACTACAGTAATACCTTTACATAGTTAAATCACTGAAACGTAGATATTTCATAGTGCAGCTAAGTGTGAATAAAAGTAAACAAGCCATATTTACTAAACACAATCAGGTTCCACCTTTGGCAGTACCAAAATTAAAGACGCTAACTAATAAAATAAACACTTTATTGTTCCATCATAGTAGTACTGTGAATAAGTATCACTAAGGCAGCCTTTCCCTATTTTGGCTTCTTGCTTGTATATCTGCAACTACAAGAGAATGTTATCCTCCCATTGATCTAAATCCATATATATCCCCTATTTCAGTCACAAGCATTTCCATTTGACAGTTCAAGTAGAGGAAATGGGTGATATGGATTCACATGTCTCTTAAGGTTACAGTACTCTTTAGATTCTAGATGTACCTCATTGACAATAAGCGAGATACCTAGCCTAACTAAAGTGAGTAGCAGTGACAAGTTGTACAGCTTTATAGTCACATAAAGAATGTGAACTATGGATTTTAGCCAGTTATAAACAACATGAACCTGGTTAGCTTCGAGTAAACAGTCAATGCTCTAACAGCAATTATTTGCTGTTAAAACATGTCGCTGGTAAGTGTTCAACTGTTGTACTGGGTGATATCGGTTTGGACCCCTGGAAAATCGCTACAGTTTATTGACGAATCTAAAACATTACAAAACCTAATCGATTAAATTCTTCTGTCAAACGCATTTGACCGTCTCGCATTCAGTACTTTCCTTCTGAACACTGTTTAGTTTTAAACAATTGATAAAATCAGCCTTTTAAAGAAGGCTCAGTTAGTTGGTTCTACACTATACGCTGTAATTGTAACACACAATTAGAAGATCTAACAGTGAAAATACTTTGAATATTACTAAGTCAATTAGTATGAATAATCCAATCCTAAGGACGGGTCACTGGTGGCCTGAATAGCTTAGTAACGCAGTCAGTACCACTGGGTAACGCAGGTGTTAGTCACCTAGGCAACACCAGTTTCCGTGTAGTTGTAAATATGCCTTGCAGTTGAGTACCAACAACCAAACGTCCTAGATCAAGTAAGGCTTCCTATGATGGACTCTTATCATTTAACATCACAGTGACTTTAAGTACACTACTGAGGTGTTGTTTCTTAAAGGAATGTAATACATATCGAAACACTTACCAATTTCATTTCCTGTTTCAAATTCCAGACTACCTTTTTCCCTGGTATAAATATCACCAGGCATTCGCAACCACCTTATTTATCTTAATGACTGGCAGTGGAGTCCAGAAGGCGCAATTCGTCCTGTTCATGACTCATCAGCTGGATTTACCCATACCCGATACCCACTAACATTCGAACCCAGTACCCATTGCTTCAAACGCCAAAGCGCTATTTACTAGGCCACTGAGCCAAAAAAGCCACCACTTGTGCAACTAGTATCACTTGTTTCTAGTTGAAACTTGCAATTTTTCGTTGCGATACAGGGTCGAAGTGCTTGACCTCTGTCAGCAGATGTAGTCAAACGCTTTTATTATAAACATAAATTGCATTCTTAATGCATACTGAATTATCAAACCATGCTTTTTACTTATCTATCATTTTCCCTACCAGACTCCTTTTTGCTGAATAAACTATCATCTTCAGACTTATGTTTGCTCTTCTATACACCACTTCACGACAGTATTTTTACTGACTTCATTATCTGCAGACAGTTAGGTTTTGCGCTTGCCGGTAAACGTCAGAAAGGCATACCTGGAACCTCGGGGAACTGATTTCCCCTTGGAGATGGTCTTTAGTTACCGACCGATTGCCGCGAACCATCTATCAAGCATAAAAATGCACCACAATGTTGAAACACCTAGTTTGATAGCCACATTGCAAAATGACAGACAGAATTCAGTCAGCATTCACAATTAACAACATGAAATTGGTTGCCCTCCAGTGACCAACCTATGCAAGCTTAACGTAGGTTTATCAACAGCGGGTTGTTACAATTTTTTCACTAACATTTTTTTGCACTTCAGTAAAAAAATTCATCTAGTAAATATGCTCACTTGTTGATTTTTCACCCATTTGGTTGTGATTTGCTCTATCTAAATCTGATTTACTGGCTTCTATGCTATCTTTGTCAGAAAATGTCTCCGATCTAGAGTAAGACGACGTTATGTGTCTACTTGCAGAAGTTCTTCTGTTGTTACTTCTTTTCTGCTGAACAGTAGAGTACTTACTCGTCCTCAATGTTAGCATATCTCGATGCAGTTTATTCTTTTGTCGACGTCTTGTCTGCATTTCTTCTTCCTGTGTTAGAAAAATAAAAGCAAAATATGATTATTGTTTTTAATCAACATTACTCAAGTTATGGTCCCCAAGATCAACATGTTTCTGAATGATTCACCTCTCGACTGTCATATAACCGTCATGTCCTTACCCCTGATCAAATTATGTTAATCAAGTTTGCATATTGAATATAATCGAAGAAATATGACATAATATTGCGCTGCATTTCGGTGTTTGATGTTAGAAGCCGATAATTTGGGAGTTCTGATTCATCTTGGTAATTTATTACAGATTACAGTCTTGTGGGTTTTATGAATTGATTCACAATTTGTAAAGTTGTCAGTTAAACATATGGCAGTTAGCACTCATCTAGTCCACTGTTCAATGAGTAACTCATCATTTTTGAAGTTCCGTGTACAGTAGAGATCAGATATACCAGTGGATCCTTCTATTATATCGAACTGTTCAGTAGGTTAGGAGTGATTTCTCTTTGTAACTAAGACAGAAAATTTATGCGAAGTTAAATGCTAAGAGGCATTCTGAAAGGGGTCATGTTTCAGGTATATTTTATGTTTGACTCCGTTTGTCATAGATATTTATCTTTGACGTCGAGGGAACAGATCCATTGTCAAATATCCGAAATTTCACCACTCACTACTGTAGTCAAGGCCGCTACCAATGAGTCTTTTGAGCCATAAAACAGTGAATAATACCATGCTTGAATACTGCAGAGATACCAATCTGATGTCATTAAAAAGATTAACCATCGGTAAAATACTTAACCGCAAACTTTGGTAGTATTGGACGTCAAAAGATGCTTGACGAAACGAACCGAGAACCAAGAAAATGAAGTTGAGCACACAAAGATGAAGCAAAGGCCAGTAATGCGTAAACCTCACGACAACAACATCGTAGATGTTCTTAAACATCCAAAACAATATCCACATTTGAAACTCGCCCCCATCCTTCCATCTCAATAAACACGGATCCTCACAAGTCAATACACACAGAAAAGTAAGTTATCATGATCATTGCTCAGCTGATATTAAACACATTTGATAAGAAATAACTTCAATTACACACCACAAACATGTGAGCTTATTTTTCAACTCGGATTTCAGTCTGTTTGCATATCAAGTGAAGTATTGATGTGTGTTTCAGCATAGGGAAACGGAATCTACCATCGAAGGCATACGTCTTTGAAACAACAAAGTCAGCATATATTTGATGCTAATTAAAACACTAGACAGAGAGTTTAGTAGGAGTTGTTTGTAGAGTGGAATTAATTGAGTAATATATTACAAAACAGTGTTAATGAAGAGCAGTTCTCTATTCATTCATGTACACATTCGTGTACGTGTGCATTGGTGTGAATCTTCTTGACAGTGTGTTGTCTAGTTAGCGAATATGTGTTTCAGTGTGAAGAGTATTGACTCACTGATTATCCATTTAGTTAGAGATGTGAAACCCACCTCATTTTTGGAAGTTTGAACAGTTAGATAATTTGACTAGCCATCACAAATGTCAGTTTACGAGAAAGATGTCCATGGAAGGATTATGGGTTCAGTCTTAAAGCGAATTGCATTCAGTACTGAAAAACATTACAACCTAACTAGGGATGTAGTTAATGACAAAAATTGTTTGTGTTCTTCTTCGGCGTCCACCACTTCCGCTTCTGGTTTTGTATATTTCTAACTAATCAATCTTGTGTATCTCACCAGTATGTTCACCAGTCAAGTGTGTTCTTTTGTCATATTTCAAGGCCGCCACACTTTATGCTACTTAGATGTGCTGCTATCAGTACCATACATTAAAATATGACCGTATCTCACCTAGTGACAATTATGAGGAAATCACTCACCGATATGCTGTCTATGTCTTAAGCTGATGTTCATCAGCATTTGTAGAATAACAAAACAGCTACTTTTTATGATGCTTGCCATGTAAGGTAGCTGTCATTCATGATACTGTTAACATATGTAATTTAAGAATAATACAAGTCGTTCTGGTTTACAGGAGGAACAACGTAACGTTTTTAGATTAAGATAAAGTTGTCTTAGTTAAATACAAACATAGTGTTAAATAATTTTTGAGAAACCTGTTTCACCTACTAAACTGGACAGATGAGGAAGTCAATACAAGGATCGGAAGAGCAAGACAGCCTTTCATTAATCTGAAATCAGTGTGGAGATCTACTCCACTTCACTGCACCCAGCATTTCTCAGTATTAGCGTATCATGGGCACCGTTTGATAGATGAGCAATCTAGGCAGTTAAACAAATAAGAACAAACTAGGAATGACAAAAGCTATGTCGTCTCCTTAATGATGGATGTCTCTTTTAACCTGCATGATTCCTGACAGAAAGTAATTGATGTCAACATTTTAAGCTATGGACGATGACATAAGCTTCAGTTTATAGTGTTTGGTTAAGCTAATTTAAGTGGAGAGTTTGGCGCCTTATTTGACTAATCAGAACAATCCAGATAGTTATTAGCTTCGTGCAGTTTCATATGACCAAAAATGTATTTATTTCATTGAATTCAAGGTGCCGTTACACATCCTGTGACAAATGACCTGTCTCTTTCGGTATTGCCAGGCCTGAGCACTTTCTTTGATGAGTGAGTTAAAACTGAATTCATTCTACTTGGAATTCAATACAGTGTTTATTTGCGAAGTACTTTTTCCTCTACTAAAGCTGACTTCTTGGTTAATTTCCATTGTGAAGGGTGTGCTTCTATTGAAGTATAAACACATAAGAATCTTCTCCTTGACTGTTGATTCAGGGTGACTTTCAAAGCCTTTATAGTAGCCACAACATCTTTGTCTAACTAACATTTGCGATTTATGGACAATTACAGTGAGCTAATCAATTAAATTTTCTATATCCCATCCCATTTCCTATCAGAAGTGCGCATCACATATAACAATACAAACCTTTTTCATAATCAGAATAAAACCTTAGAACATATTAGTTCTTTTTCATTTGTGCTATGGTCATTCTTTAATTTTTTGACATTTGAATCTTATCAGCTGTGAATTGGAACCCGGGTACCTATTAGCTTGTCGCAACCAGCGTATGATAAATGTAACACCTTTCTGAACTGAAAGATTCGAACCATGTGGGTATGTAGACACACTTAGGAAGGCAAAACAAGGTGGTTTATATGTGATTTAAACTACTAATGAACCATCTATGACTGACTATAAATATATTGTGCAAAGAGGTACTTCAGCTGTTTGCCATATTATTGTTAAAAGGCAACTAACTATATTCAATGTAAAAGAATGTTCCAAATACAAGTGAACAGTGTATAATTAATATTCAGAGTTTGAGTAAAAAGTATTCTTCATTAAAACAATATCAACTATTCAATTTAGCACAAAAGGGATAGAAATACAATTGGAAAGGATTATAAGGGAAACAGTGAAATCAAATCATAGATTTTATTACAAACATTAATTATTAAGTAGCAAAGAAATAGAGGTTGATATGAAAAGAAACAGCGTAATGATGTGAGAAGTTTTGTATGTAGATAACTTGTCATTTCACACTTTCTAATACACGTTTTTATCGTCCACCATAAAACTAAAATGAATAAATAGAAAATGAAAAGGATAATAAAAATGAAAGCAAGAAATAGACAGAATATCAGATGAACAATGAAACGTTTTAGTCAACTCAAGGTCGAATGAAATATTGAACTAACATGTTTCAACTACGAAGGGAAATAGGAGAAGAATTGCTTTAAGAACTTTTTTGATCAGACAGAATGGGCAGATGTTTGAAAAAGGTTTTCTTTTTAACTATGAAGAAGGAACCATTGTTGATTGGACCGAATTGATCGGTCTCTATTGGCATATGGGCTCCTGTGCGGATGCCTTGATATTGTCAGCGTTCTAATTATGTTATTGATGGATCGTGGCTAGCAGCAGATAACGCGCTGGCGTCTGAAGCGACCGCTTCCGAGTCCGAATCCTGGTGGGAACAACATCACTCACTGGGAAGCAGGTACATCCAGCTGACGAGTCCCAAATAGGACGAAACGCGCATTCTGGATTCCACTGCTGGCCACGATCCATCACTAAGGAAGGAAATTAAGCAATCTTGTAACACTATACGGTGAACTCTAGTGAGCTAATCTCAAAGTCTATTTATTTGTGCCTTCCAGCAATACATAAATCAATCTGACGATATGTAGGGAATCATTCTTGAGAAATTTACGTAAAGTATTCTCTGCGGTTTCTGTACTTCGGTAGTCCATACCACATGGAACTTTTGGGACTTCTGTTCACCTTTTTGTGAACAGTCGTTGCCAGCTAGCCTTCACAAAATCAATAAGATGACATTTCAGAATTTTCAAGAGTATTTTTATTGATTGAATCCTTAAGGGGATGATAATACGTAGTAAAATTTCCTAAAAACTTTTTGATGTTATGTCTCTGGAGAATGTAATTAAATATCGACATCATATTGTTCAGTATTCATGAAACCCACCAATCAGTGACAGCAGATTTTAACTTCCGGTTGCTAGAATGCAGTATACATCCCCGGCTGGGTGGGGTCATGCGTGCGCATTGTTAAGGTGTTACATACTATGACGAAACAAGTCTCCAGTTCTGCTGGGTATCCAACGTTCCTCCAACTGACGTCAGTCTGTGATGAATACCAACTTGGTAAATGAAGAGTATTGGTTGGTCACTGAAGAGCAGCTAATTTCACTTTGTTTATTAGTGAGTGCTAACTGAAATCTATCAATCATTTTGTAATATGGTCACCAAGCTAGGAGGCTCACCAGTGAGGTGCACGTTTGACTGATAGATCGGTAGGAAGCCCTGCTAATCGTCTACAACCAAAGGACAAATGAAGAGCGCCAAATCAGAAAGAATTAATTGTTTAATGCTCTCGGGTGTTCAATAGTTCTCTAACTGATTGCATTTTCAGGCAAAAGATGCTTCGAAACAAACTATCTCCTCAAAAGATTATCAAAATCAGTATTTCTGTCTAAACTGTTGCTGCAGAATAAACGTCATCACTGTACTGATTGGTCACGGGAGTGCAAACAATTTTATGTTGTCTAGTCCTGAGTGCAGATTGAATTCTATCGATCATATTTGCAATGTGGCAACCAAGCTAGGAAGCTCAACATCACGGTGCACATTATTAGATACTAGTTGGTTAAAGGCAATCGGCAAGAAGCCCTGGACCCAGGTTTCGTGCCTTTTGGCACTTGTCAGCAAGGCGTATCTGCAACCTCAACGAAACTGATGTCCCACCTGAGATTCGAACCCGCGTCACCCAGTGTTGTAGTCAACGACTTTACCACTGAGCTACTCGGGCCGCGATTGACTTCCTGCAGATACGCCTTGCTGACGAGTGCCAAAAAGCACGAAACCTAGGTCAAGGGCTTCCTGCCGATTGCCTCCAACCAACTAATAAACGTCATCACTGTTGTACAAGTCTTCTAAAGTTCCTAAATCGCGATATATTTTTATCTAGTCACCTTTGATTGCTACTCAGTAGCAAATATTCCTCATCATTCAATCAGGTTTCTCTTCAGCGACACACGCATATGTGATATCCAGCATTCACAACTCCAATATATACAGAACCACTGGATTTCATGTGTAAAGTTCCCTCAGGATATGTCAGTTTGCTTTGAAACTACGTAGTTAAATATAATCTGGTTCTAAACTCAGTTTTTGTTTCCTTTGGGAACCAAAAGTGACATACCACTAATTGTGACCTTTTAGACGTTACAAGTGGCGCGAAGTGAGCAAGCGGGGGAATTGAACAATATATACTACCAACCGGCACTGCCACTTGATAGCCAGTTTGAATGCCGTATCACTCGTTAGATAACGTTCTCATCACCTTAGTCACCTAAATCTTGCTAGTAAAGAACAGTGATGATTGACAAGACTGGTTTCCTAATACTCATGCTAATCAGTAGCTTCACTTTACAGTTCTTCATATTTTTCGGACTGAAATCATCCTAGAGCTAGTTCTTGCCATCAATCTATTCTCTTCTCACCCTTCACAGTTTGTTGCATGATCTAGTCCATTTCAGTCCACCACAATCAGATAGATCATCGGTAATAGTAGGCAGCCTTTCTTACTCCTGTCTTCACTTCAAAGGCATTACTGAGCTTTTCATTGTGAATCACTTGGCATGTAGTATCGTCATAAAGCATATAGTTGTTGAATGAGGTTGGTAAATGTTTGTTGCACTAAAACTGTGGAGTTGAAGCGGTTTCCAGATTACTTGTTGGTCGACGCTGTCGAAGGCTTTTTCAAAGTGGATGAAGTTGAGGTAGAGTTGAGTTGACTGCCAATCTATACTCCGTTCAGTGATGATGCGTGGCTTAGCATTACGATTTGATCCGCACATGATTTGTTGTCCCTGAGGAGGGCCAGACAGCCTGTTCTGGTCGTAATTTTGAATCCAGACCATACGTCAGTCTCTCCGGGATGATGCAACATAATATTTTGCCTGGGGTGGACAGTTATGGAGCGTGATTCCACACCAGTTCTTTCTTTGTTTATTCGAAGTGTTGACTATATTAAGCCTACTAATTTCATTTTCTCAGTTGTTAAGCTTTATCAAGATAGTTATGAAGCTGATCTATGCTTCCCAACCACTAACTTTTGCGGACTGATACTACTTATACACATTGCTGTGAGTCATCAATGCTTAAATCTTATTTCTTACTTTCTGAATTTGTGGTCCTTTTTTTGTTGGTTGTCCTACACTTTAAAATGACTCTTGTGAATGAACATGCTGAAACTATTTTGTGGACTTGGGTGATAAAGCAACTTCTTCGTAGTTCATTGGTCCCTACTGGCTTTGATCTTTGAAAACCCAAGTAAATCTAGTCATTTATTTACAGTAATATCGAAGTTAAATTATCGACTTTGATTAAATCTAGAGTTTGTAGGGTTGATTGTAAATAGAAGGGGGTATGACTGAAGTGTTTAGTACAGCCGATGTACAAACGTCCTAATATCTTTAAAACGCAACGTATAACGATGAAATGTACTCAAAAGAAAATACCAATGTACAAATTTAAGACATTTTTGTTTAGCTGGCTTACCGTACAAGCCAGTTTTTCAAGTTCCATTGATGTTTAAGAACTAATTAACTTTTACCACTGTCATAGTTGTTAAGGCCTGCACATCTAACCAGTGTTATCATAGATATTTTGTGAACCATCGCTTACTCATTCACTATTATAAACTCAACTCTATTTACATCTAAATCCAAATATTTGATATATTGTGAGATAACTAGTTGTCAAGGCAAAAGACTAAAGTGTAATTTGAACCCAATTAGCAGTTAGGTTTTACGTTTTTATCGGTGGACTGCCATTCGATTTCTGGTTAGAAACCATCTATAACTCAGGTTTCCTTGAGATTCAGTTATCATTACTGTTTGTTACACAAGAGTTTATTATAACAACACGATATTAGATGGAGAAAGGTAGTTAGCTCACTGCAAACCATTGAAATGAATAATATGTTGAGACAAAAGAATTTCAAGTGACTGCCACCTTTTTATGTCAAAGCCAGGATCAGAAAAGCAAGAAAGGCTTTGATTAACCTGAAACCCGTGTGGAGATCTACTCCACCTCACTCCACTCCACTTCACTCTACTCAGCATAAACCGTGAACAATATCCCGAGTTTCAACACCAATGTCAAGTCAGTACTTATATGTGATGGTTGAGAGACTTGGCATGTTACGAAAAGCATTTACAACAAACTACAGGCACACATCAATAGCCATCACCTACGCTCACTCGATACTGAAATCAGATGGGTGGTCAGATAGAATAAGCAAAGAGGAAGTCACTTTGACTGACCTGACAACGAACCAACCAACGAGGCAAGAACCCATCTCTCTTAACAAATATGCACTGGAAGGAAGTGGAGATGGACTGAACTGGACATGCACTAAGAAGACCGTTTGTGGACATCAGGTGTCATGCCAGGTCGTTGAGTGGAAACCGAATGGGAAACGACGAGTTGTACGTCCCAGCTGATGGTGACACGAAGGAGATCGTGTTAGGAAAAAATGAAAGCTTGTGGTCAGTGATGAAGCGAGGTTCAAAAGACTGCAGAGAACAGAGTGCAATGGCGACGAGCTACTGAAGCCCTATGTTTCACTAGGAGCCCAAGGGACAAAAAATAATAATACTTACCTATTTGAAGTGTGAACGGATGAGTTAGTCAATCTGTGTGGAAAAACAGATGCATGCATTCTTCATTTTTACATTCGCCACGGAATGACATCAGTTGCAGGAACACTGGACAGCCGTTTCGTCCCAGTATGTGACTCATCAGCACCGCGTGTGCATGACCCGATCACGGATCCTACCCATGATTACCTCTAGTAACCAGCACCTTACCCCTGAGTGACTGCGTGAGGATCCAACACTCCACATATCTCTGCTTCTATCAGCTCGTGAAATAGCATGACCATAGCATCTCATCACTAAGTACTTATCAACACATCCGAACTGGTTTGCCCCATTTGTCACCAATTCACATTTGAACTTCCCGAAACCTCATCTTGAAGCTGGCAACGGTTCGATCCTTGGTGGCATCATCGGCGTGCGCGGCTGAGGAGTCGCATACTAGGACGAAACATATGTCTAGTGCTCCTAGGTTTTCAATGGTTCTTCAACTGTTGTCACTCCGTGATGAATACCAACTCGGAAATAATAAAATTCCCACAAAACTCAAACTTGTCTTGAATATTTAGAGGATTCTGAGCAAATATTAACACTTTTCAGCAACAGATATCGACTTCAGTTTTTTTTGATGACTAATTAACTATAATTACTCCACTTTTCTTTTCACACCTCATATCAAGTTGAGTTAGACCAAAGGAAGACTAACTAATCATTAATTCTAGTCTTTTTTTAATCAATAACTTTTGCGGTTTTGTATCACTGCTTAGGGGAATCCATTTAGTTTCAAACTCTCACTAGAGATTCTACAGGATTAGATAATACGAGTCAATTATGAGGAAAATGTGTTTCATTAGGAGTTTTTGTTAAGTGCAACTCATCGTCAACTAGTATTTTCAACCTTGAAGGAATTCATGTTTTCTTTGGTATTCAATCCCATGTTACTCATTTCTGAATCAGCTAACTTTACGATGAGTCACATCTTAAAGAACGGCATTATGTAGAACAGTCTGTTACCAATGTAGCTTTCTAGCACTTTACTTTAGTTGAAGTCTTTTTTACCAAAGAGTGACTAGGCTGGATTAAAGGACACAATTTTCAGCGTCATAGTACCTGACTAAACTTATTTTGAGTGAAGTATGTTAAACTTGAAATCTGATTAACGTCTTGACTGAGTACTCATCGTTTGTATTACTGTTTTTCTCCAAATATTTTATTATGTTCGTAACTGACTGAACTTTGTTTAGCATGGAATATGAAATAATGGCTGCCAAAAAAAGGCAGCTAATACGGGAGTTGTTTACAAGTCATGATCAAATCATGTTCAGATCCATGATTTATGCATGCGCTGACATGAGAACCTTATTGGAAAAATTCGACCTGATACAAGAAATCTGATTGGTTGATTTATGGCTTCACTTTCTGAGAGTTTTGTAAATACATATATGTCGTGTAGTCGCGTAATAAAAGTTGTCTTTGTTGCAGTGGCGGACAGTTTTTGTCTTCTGATTTTTAGTGGCTTAGTGAAGCAGAAGGTACTGAGGGAGGTCAGTCGTAAAAGTATTCGGTTGGGGTGTCTGTTGAGTTTCAGTACTACTCTACCCACGCACGGCCACAACAAATAATCAGCACGGAAAATGAGAAAGCGGTGTAGGGCACCATATTTAATGTTGAATGTTTTTTGAACTACCTATAGAGTATCAGTATGTTTCTTAAAACGTGTAGGCTAGAACAGTCATTGAATAAACATTTGAAAAACTTACTTGGTGTAGATTAGGTTTAACCTTTTCCCTCATTCGTTCCTTTTTCTGGTTGGTTAGACCACGTCCAAGAAGACCTCTTATTCGTTTCGACTCCACTTTATTGCGATTCAACAGAATCTTTTCACGTTGTTCTTCTTCCAACTGAAACGAAGATCAATAAAGGATTTGTCTATTCTAAAATAAAAGTTTTTCTTCTTTTCACTTCAATGGAAACTTAAAGTTGAAATAAATAAACTGAAAACCACTAATATGAGTGAGAAACTTGAGCACTGTGGTAGAATGTAATTCCATATTAGATTTGTTTATTTGATTTATAACACAGTGACAGAGTTTTATCTATTTGGTGACGTTTTGAGCATAAATTATTGCTCATAATCATGTCAGTGTCAAACAGCTAATCTGATATGAAAACCACTGGCATTTACATCTATTTTGTGATGGTGAGCGGCCTTCTTTGAGCTTGATCACGTCTTGAGTGATTCTGGAGACCACCTTGAATACACAAAAACAATCAATTAGCTGCCTTTCTCTAACCTGGGAGGGTAGTTTTATTAAAAATAAGGAGATCTGATGTTAGTCGGTTGGAGGTAATCAGTAGGAAGTCTCGCTTGACCTAACTTCCCTGTTCGCTGGCACTCATCAGTAAGGTATATCTCAACCTTGAGGGAATTGAATCTTTCCTGGATAGATACAGCAATTGGTCACTGCAGACTAACTAACTTCATGGTGTCTAGTCTTGAGCACTGACCCACTTCTCTCAGTCATTCTTTTATGTGTTGACCAGGCTAGAAGATCCAGTATCACAATGTACTGAAATGAATAACTCACTTGGCAACTTCATGAATGTGACTGTTAAATCCAAAGGCACAGAATAATTATTGAAGAGTAAAAAGAAGTCTACTAAGTTATCTACCAAATAATATTGTGCACTAAGTGTCTGAGTAAAATATCTTTGTTCCACTTTATGTTTCGCAATCCGAGTACATACATTGCGTAGTCTCATGAATGCTATGAGTTCAATCACCATATTAGTCAGAGAAGTTAATCCGTGTGTATTCATCAATGTTGTTGGTATTTATTATATGAGTGACACTTTTCACCAATCGATAGTATTCACAGAACTTAGTCACGATGACTGAGTACAACTTTTGTACAAGAAATAAGGTCATCATAGCAACATGTATAGAATTCTGTGCTAAACTACACTTAACATGTAGAAGCTAATTATATTACCCATTTGCCTAAGCCAGAGTAGGTGAACCAAGAGTCAAATCCAAAGGTGAATGCTTAAATATCGATTATTGAAACCAGTTAACTCTCAGAACAATTAAGGAAGAACACAGATTTGCATATTTACCTTGATTTAACAACGTAAAATAAAGTATGTTTACTCTTAAATAGTCGTAGGTAACCAGTGATAAAGCCTGAACCTAGATTTTTTGCTTGTTGACAGTTGTGAGCAAGGCAATATCTACAATCTTGAAGTTAATCAACAAAAAATGCTGTTTACCATGAGCAAAATTGAACTGAACAAACAACTTCCTATCATTTAGTTCTGAAGCCTCATTTTTATGCTTACCTGTAGGTTATTCTCTATAATTTGTTGTACCAAATAGTTGAATAAAGGAATTTTTGAATCCATTGGTCGATGAATGCGATGCATTAGATTTCTTTTAGCTATTTCTCTAATCTGTTTCAAACCGTCTGGATTACGGCGGCTTTGAATAAGACGTTCTAAATTTCTACTGCTTAATACATAAGCTGATACAGGTTCTATACAAATAGCTGTTTGCATATAGGTTTTTAATTCGAAGCCATATTCAAATTCACCTGTATAAGTTAAATAGAAATAATTCTAGCAGTCAATAGATGCTCAATTTATCAAGAACTCGTCACTGTAGGTTGGAAAAAATGTACTAAAATATTGACTTTTTCTGATTCTGACATTTAAAGCACATTCATATTTGCAACTTCTGTTTACACTTCTCATCGAGAACTGACAATAACTTGTGTCAATCTATGAAGCCACTTAGGTTGACCAAGAACAGAGATATCCGCTGAGGATGTCAGATGACGTCCGTATGATATCACTGGTTCACAGAAGACCAAAAAATAGAATCGAAATAAACAGGTGGAACACAACAGGTATTCATTAAGAATTGATTACACTTGATTCTCTCTCACATAAATTACAGGTGCTCATAGGTGTTCTGTAACCTACTGCTTTCAGCGTCCTTCAATTCATCTTACTATATACAAGAAATCCCCTTCAAATCACTCAGTTTAGCCTTGAAGAACTAGGATAAATAATCGCATTTTCGAGATGGCTGCAATGAAAATAATTATCTTTTCTACGAACCCTTTTTCGCTGTTATACATTAGTTAATGTATAAGTCAGAAGAATTTTTGGCCAAGGACAGAACTAAAAAACCCCTTAAAAGTAGGTCTAAGAAAGAGAATCAGAGAATACTACGTAACATAGAGAGCAGTCTGTAAAATACACCAAAATCGGGTAACAAATGTTGAGAAAAGTGATGATAATAATAGGGATCATCTAGTAGGGGGATTGTTCCGAAAAATTACGCTACAAATAAAACAACACGAAGAACATGTTGAAAAAGTATATGTTTTTTTTTAAACACTGAGTAGAGTCCTGATCACCGTGTTTTGAAGATCCACGCCACTGGTCTGCGCATAAAGACTTCGTCGACCGTGCTTATCGCTAAATCAACTGTGACGGTGGGTTGGCCCTCAGTCCATGTGTAACTAGGCTTAGACAGTAATCCCCGATACCTGCATCAACTAGCCATGCCGTGTAGGGCTTCTTTTTATTGATACTTTGGCACGTAACTACAGTGGAGGTATTTGGCTACCTTAAGATAGTCATAGTTCTTCCCCTCACACACATACGCCTAGCTGATGAGTGCCAAAAAACAAGAAACCTAGGTCAAGCAGGGTTCCTTGACTATTACCTATCACCTTCAAACGACCAGTTTGCCTCTCTTACTCAGCTCACTCACGGTTACATGGTTAAAAATCTATCACTTACTTTCCTGTGCAAAATCTCGAACACCCAAGTATGAGGACACATACTAAGGATACATACCATCACTGAGCTTACTTCAGAAGTGATGACTTCAATGATGAAAAAGATCCAGCTGCAGAGAATAAATATCTTACCACACGATGATGAATAATTAATCAATCTAGTATTGTCACCTTGGTACTGAGATCCACGGATGAAGTTAGAACTGAGAATACAAGATTTATTGCTCAAGAAAAGATGAAAACTAATTTTTTTTTAATCACTGTTCACATAGTTATTATATATAGAAAATAACTGTTACGTATGGCACAGAAAAAATATCCTCTTCCTAACTGGTCGACGCCAAATAATACATGGTCAGTCGTAGAATGTTTATCTAGATATTCAGTTTGTTATACATAGTAATGTTGGATAGTGGTTAGCTGTGGAATCCAGGATGCTCATTTTTTCCTATTTGGGACTTGTCAGCTGGATGAACCTGCCTCCTAGTGAGCGACTAGGACTCGAAGTAGCCGCTTCAAACGCCAGAGCCTTATCCACTACACCATTGAGCCATGATAGCTACTTCTTGTGCTATGGGTATAGTTTTAGTATAATTGCTTGCATTATACAGTCGTTGACTGGACCAAATTGATCAGTCTCTATTGGCATATGGGCTCCTGTGAGGATGCCTCGATATTGCCGGTGTTTTTAGTCATTCATAGTAATGATGGATATTGTCTAGCAGTGGAAACCAGGATGCATATATGTACGTTTATCATTTCAGTTTATTGTTTATACACGAAGCATTGGCTAATAAGATATTATCCTTGGTTATTTTATTATTTTTCTGAGTTTTGGAGCATTTCTTCTTTTCCTGTGGCGACTTATACTGATATTTGTTTGTAAGAATATCTACAATGTAGTTTCCTTCGATCCTGTCTGATTTGGTGGGTTGCTGTGTCAAGTTATTCTTATATATCCTTATTGTTATGCACACTCTTGTAGTATAGCACATACATTTTCTAGATTGTTACCGCCAGAGCTACACTCTCTGAAACTCGAATTTCTTGAATTGCTGCAAAACTAACCACATCAGCTGGAAAACGATAAGATTAAAGCAGCTAACCTTAACTTCACAACTTCATAATCAAATTACCACAAAATAATTAGGTCTAAAAGCAACTTGTATTAGTGGTTTCAAATGGTAATTGAGGTAGTAGAGATTTTCCAGGAATAACCAGCATTTGTAACTCTTGTCACCAATTCTTTACTGGAGGGATTGGTTACAAAATACCACTTTTTCCTGATCCACAGATTTCTCCGCTCGTCAATGAAAGTTTATTAAAATATGAATAAGATATAAGTAAACCTAGGTCAGAACTTCTAGAATACTGCCTCTAACCAAATTGAAGTACTTCCCCTTTGGTTTCTTTCGTCAGGCATCTAGATCATTGATACCAATACACCTTTTACAGATAATCAGAGGGGAAATAAACTTGGTGTTTAAGAAGTCCCAATTAATTTCACACATTTATTAGCAATCAATTCTCTTCTGATAATGACTGATTGGATTTTTGCCCATATTCGAACTATTGTCATTCATTTCATTAGTGATAGAAAGTAACAATGAAACTGATATTGATTAGAACAAACAGTTCATGTTAAAAGGAGTTATCGCTCTGACGATAGTTCCAGTGTTACATTTGGGACCACTCAAAGTCACTGAATGTATCAGAATTAAGAAGTGTCTATCATATCCAACGAAACCAATGTAAGCAAATCATGCACACATATATATTGGTTTCTATTTGTGAAACATTAAGGATGCTATACTTCTTTATTCCCAGAGGAATATTCATATTTCCTAGATTTTCTCGCTTTTCCTATTTATTTCTCACTTTGGTCTACCAAAAGTATAACCTACAAATATCATGCTACGTAGAATCAAACTATGACCAAAAATATATTGGAAATTAATCTGTGAATGGTTAAGAAAAGAAAATTCAGAAAGAATTTTTTTTGTTTCGACGAATCATTTCCAAAGGCTGTACAATCGTAGTCATAGTTACTAATTCACCTACTCTTGTGGAATTGGTTACATGGGCTGCACAAAACGTGTTCTGTCCAAACTTGTATGGGTGCCTAAAAGAGAATGTTAAGCCATAAACAGCTTGATTCTTCAGCATTAGGTTAATTCTGATCATTTTACTCTCTCTGAGAGTCATATTTAAAGTTATCTACAAGTGTGTATATCCGTCTCCTCAACACAACAGAGGCTTCGAAAATCCAGCCATAAAGGCCTGATCTTTATGTTCAGAAGAGATGCATTCAATCTCTGCTTTGATCGTAACCTCGTTAAGACAGTTTATTCATTTCTTTGTTTACTGTTTGTTCATTCATTGTAATCCTATAAGCATTGTTTGATGATGATGAATTGACCTTCTAGTTGTCATCACCTTGTGACTTTATTGACCGTTTTCTATGACTTCATATTGACTCATTAGTTATTGATGGATATATATTTTGCTACAACCATGATTACGATGTACAGCTTTTGAAAATGATTCGTCGAAAAAACTTTTTTTCGCTGGATTGTCTCTTCTACAAGGTTACCATCAAGAGGTAAGTAGTGCAGTAGGCAATTAATTGATTCTTGTGATACACAAGGGTATCAGTTAGGGTAGATTTGTCTAAAGAAAACTTTCCAAGTCCTCATTTCATAACAGTTCGCAATCAGAGCAGCCAATTTGAGATGTAGTAAAATAAAATATAAGAAGGAATAAAGTTTCTACTGATATTTTGGCTGAGTTTATTGCAGGTATGAAATATCTTATCTTCTGGAAGTAATAATAATAAGAAAAAGGATTGACTTGCCAAGTATTGTACCAGGTCCTATAATGGAAAGCCCAACCTTCCGAAGAGCATTACGATGTTCATTGATAACATACCCCATTCGCCGAATTGGGTAATTAGAACTAAAAGGGAAAAGAAACTACATTTGATGTATTACTTTAAGGGATGCTTGTCAGTGGAGATTATTATTCAATGAAATTATCAAGTCTGTCAGCACTATTCTCTGTGGCTATAAAACTGCTGCAGTCACTGATGATTGAAAAATCTTTACATTGTGTACTCCACAATCCATACATTGACAAAACTGGAACTTAGATACTGGTTACCATACAAAGCCCAATTAGGTGAAACACAAAAACTATTCATCCCACTTGGGGCTCGTTAGCTGGATATTCAAACAACCCAGTGAGTGATGTTATCCCTACTGAGACTGGAATCCAGTACCCATCGCTTCAAACACTGAAACCACAAAAGCTAAAGAGATGCAAAAGCTACCTGTTGTGCAAAGGGTATCAGTTGCTGATTTCGATGCTTGTAATTTCTGGTTTCTGTATAGCGTCAAATTGCTCGAACTCTAGGGTTCAATATTTGGTAGGAACAACACTCACTGGGATCGAGGTACATCAAGCTGATGAGTCCCAACTAGGACGAAACAAACATCCTGTATTTTACTGCTAGCCACCAAGCAGGCATCAGCACAACGAAATAGCAGGCAGTTTAGAGGTGTTTGCATTAGGGCCCATCTTCCAAATGTGGTCGAGCGGTTTCACCCTGCGTAGCAACGGGAAATTACAAGTATCAAAAGTAACAAAAGTAAAAGTATGTGAAAATGATCAAATAATTTATTTATTATTATTAATTGTCTTTTGGGTTCCTAGTGAAACATACGGCTTCATTAAAACGCCTCCATTTCACTCTCTTCTCTGCTATCTTTTCAACCTGGCTTCATGACTCTCCCTCACATGGTCTTCTCCATGTCACCGTCAGCTGGGACGTACAACTCGTCGTTTCCTATTCCGATTCCACTCAACGGCCTGGCATGACACCTGATGTCCACAAACGGTCTTCTTAATGTATGTCCAGTTCAGTCCATCTCCACTTCTTTCCAATGCATATTTGTTAGGAGATGGGTTCTTGACTCGTTGGTTGGTTCATTGCCAGGTCAGTCAGAGTGACTTCCTCCTTGCTTATTCTATCTGGCCACCCATCTGATTTTCAGTATCGAGTGAGCGTAGGTGACGGCTATTGATGTGTGCCTGTAGTTTGTTGTAAATGCTCTTCGTAAGATGCCAAGTCTGTCAACCATCACATAGAAGTACTGACTTGACATTGGTGTTGAAACTCGGGATATTGTTCATGCTTTATGCTGAGTGGAGTGAGGAAGAGTAGATCTCCACACTGGTTTCAGATTAAAGAAAGGCTGTCTTGCTCTTCCGATCCTTGTATTGACTTCCTCATCTGTCCAGTTTAGTAGGTGAAACAGGTTTCTTAAAAATTATTTAACACTATGGTTTGTATTTAACTAAGACAACTTTATCTTAATCTAAAAACGTTACGTTGTTCCTCCTGTAAACCAGAACGACTTGTATTATTCTTAAATTACATATGTTAACAGTATCATGAATGACAGCTACCTTACATGGCAAGCATCATAAAAAGTAGCTGTTTTGTTATTCTACAAATGCTGATGAACATCAGCTTAAGACATAGACAGCATATCGGTGAGTGATTTCCTCATAATTGTCACTAGGTGAGATACGGTCATATTTTAATGTATGGTACTGATAGCAGCACATCTAAGTAGTATAGAGTGTCGGCGGCCTTGGAATGTGACAAAAGAACACAGTTGACTGGTGAACATACTGGTGAGATACACAAGATTGATTAGTTAGAAATATACAAAACCAGAAGCGGAAGTGGTAAACGCCGAAGAAGAACACAAACAATTTTTGTCATTAACTACATCCCTAGTTAGGTTGTAATGTTTTTCAGTATTGAATGCAATTCGCTTTAAGACTGAACCCATAATCCTTCCATGGACATCTTTCTCGTAAACTGACATTTGTGATGGCTAGTCAAATTATCTAACTGTTCAAACTTCCAAAAATGAGGTGGGTTTCACATCTCTAACTAAATGGATAATCAGTGAGTCAATACTTCTTCACACTGAAACACATATTCGCTAACTAGACAACACACTGTCAAGAAGATTCACACCAATGCACACGTGCATGAATGTGTACATGAATGAATAGAGAACTGCTCTTCAATAACACTGTTCTGTAATGCATTACTCAAATTGATTCCACTCTACAAACAACTCCTACTAAACTCTCTGTCTAATGTTTTAATTAGCATCAAATATATACTGACTTTGTTGTTTCAAAGACGTATGCCTTCGATGGTAGATTCCGTTTCCCTATGCTGAAACACACATCAATACTTCACTTGATATGCAAACAGACTGAAATCCGAGTTGAAAAATAAGCTCACATGTTTGTGGTGTGTAATTGAAGTTATTTCTTATCAAATGTGTTTAATATCAGCTGAGCAATGATCATGATAACTTACTTTTCTGTGTGTATTGACTTGTGAGGATCCGTGTTTATTGAGATGGAAGGATGGGGGGCGAGTTTCAAATGTGGATATTGTTTTGGATGTTTAAGAACGTCTACGAAGGTTTGAGCTTGACCCCTGTAGAGGGCAGAGGGAGACGTTAATGTGCATATATATATATAAATATATATATCGGATTGGTTCTGAATGTGTTCGGTTATTTCCGATTTTTGTGGATCTAAATAAAAGACATTATACATGCTACCAAACCTTTTTAATTTGATTTGACAGTAATAAAATAAGTTTTACCTAATCCTTTATGCTTCACAAATCCAGGCACATGCAGGTTCGTCCACTAAGGTGTAACCCAACCATGTTGCATTATAGCTGGTCACTTGAACTCCAGTATTAGAAATTGGCTTCATGCCTATGAATAACTAGCTGAAAATAAAATGCTAATGTCGTTGATTGGTTAGGGACTGGACCTGAAAAATATAATCCTATTAAATGCCAATTACCATCACATTCTATAGCGTTTGTTGAGGGACACTAATTGTTTGACATTGTATCTAATCGGCACAAATTAATAATGTTATAGCAGCTAAAATGATGCCTTCATCTTCAGGCTAAATCACACAACCCTAACTTGATACAGATACATTTCCTTAGTAGAATTTTAGGCGGATACAGCAATTAAGTCTGCGTTACTAAACAGTGATGAACAGGAGTGACTAAAGTGCACATAACCGATCATGCTGCGACATCCTTGATACTCAAAGATCATCGTTGTGACTGCTCACTGTAATGGAGAGTTACTTCTGAGGCCACCCTAACAGTTGTTGAGATAACCAGTTACGTTTCTTTGTTTTATGTAAAACTACCTTCCCATCCAAAATAGTGGGACCCGATTGGCTATTTCAGCATTTGTTAGTGTGGCCTTCATAGTAACTCTTTAGCAAAGATTCTATTAGATATGCTGCTTATCGGTTCTCTATGAATTGATCAAACGCACAGATTTTCATGTTTGGTTAGAGTTCGAAATATTCTTTCAGTTCATAGGCAGTGCTTATATCTGCATAGAATATAGTGAATAGCATCATTATGGCCTCCTAAATGTTCATGTGTAGATATTTTGCTTACTTCATTCCATTCAGCTACTTGGACTGCTTGAATTGTGAAAATATAAATGCCACTTTCGCAGTTCTAGATGTAGCTGTGCGGGCGTGTTAGTTAGAGATTCAAATACTATGAATGTCTAATTTCAGCTGTAATCTACTATTTTGTACTACTGAAGTACCACACAATCAGCCTACTTACCAACTTAGATCTAACTTAACCGATTGCAAGTCTGTACCAGGCGACGTATCTAGTGTCCGTTACCTTCTTTTCGCACATCTACGCTATGAATGGTATTTTGAAAGAAGACTTGAATCTCATTATAAACACCCAGGCCATAATTGTTATGAATGCATTGACCTGAATCTTACTCTCACGAACTCATCATTTCACATTATCTCACTGATTACCAGTTGTTTATAAGTTTTATGTATAAGATGTATTCTCGCTTGTGTAATCCCAGCATAGTATATTAGAACAAATAACAAAATAAACAAATATTTTGTACTATTCCTCAAATCATCCAGTCCATTGTTGGTCAGGATACCTTCAAATATGTTTATAATTTGCTGATAGTAATGTATGTAAAACATTCCATTAGCATATTTTCGTAACAAATTAGAGTAAATATTCTTATGCTTCCTTGGCGTTGGAATATGATCTAAGCTTATAAGTGGATTGCAGTGTGATGATTCCTATCCATCGTAGTTTTATCCTTGATAGGTAATTGAATACGGGTTGGAATAAAGAGAAACGTAGTTTTATCATTCGGAATATTCATAATCTATTCTATTATGTGCATAAACCGGTGATTGTAATATTACTAAAGCTTAGAAATATGACCATTGTATATAGACATTTATTTTAAATTTATCCATAGTAAGTTTCACTGGTGTTTCTTAATCACCTTATATAGGTAAGCAGCAAAAGAATTAGGCTGACACTTTTGGCTTCGAATGCTGTCTCAAAACACCAGTTCATCCAGCGGAAATATTTAAAGTTATTAGTTGACAACCGAAAATAGTTTGATAAAGAAAATTTTTTTCCTTCAGTTAGCTCATTTAAAATTCTCTACAGGGTTCGATCAAACCACTTGAAGGGAGTAAAATCAAGGCATCTGTCTATAGCTGAAGCACTAGTCATCCAGAATTTCAAACCAGCGTTATGCGTACAAAAAAGGTACGTCCAACCTTTATCTTTGCCATGGCCATTATAAAGCCCTGTCGGCCACAGATTCATTTTATATAAGGTAACTACACATGTATACCTTATTCATTTTTCTACTGTCATAGATTGGACCTGCATTACGTAATTACAATCTTAGTTTCATAATACCCTGTTTAATCTCATACTCTGTCCGGTATTACACTTTATCTCCATAACCCTTCGTTCAGTTTCCTACTTTGACATACATTCATCCTGTATTAAGTAATTGCATTTAATTTCATAATCCCCTGTCTAAATTTTCCCACTCTAAACACAAATATGTATTAATTAACTTCCTTTTGTCATTTAATATATTTTGCCCCTGACCGGAAACAATTCTGGAACATTCTACCTTCTGTAACATATATTCACGAATGTACAGCTTAATAAATAACTTCGTCGAAAAGAAAATTTTTTCTTTGCTGAAACCACGTCTTGTCTTTGCGGATGATCAGATGGGTGTATTCCGTTTTAAAAAAGTCGTTTTACTAGAAGTTTCGACTAGCTGAAAACATTATTCTTAGTAGTCAGCCTCAAACTCTTTGTCAGTATGCACCTATGACTGCATACCAGATCACGTGCACAATTATCAGGTTCATGTTGAACATAACGTCATTCCCCTTACTGCATTTCAGTTTTTCGGTCCACATTTCCCAACTTCTTCCGTTCTCAATGCAATTCAACTATCACCCGATATAATAAGCGTACACTGATTCCCACTTCTAGTATTGTTCATCCCATTGTTCAACACTTCTCATAATGAAACTTCAATAAGCCTATTTTGAAGTCAGTAGTCAATGAACACTGATTTGTCACTCACTGGCGGAGTTAAATTACTATGTCGTCATGCATTTGCTAGTCCTGATTTACAACATCAGTCATGATGTTATTTATGAGTGATTACCACAGTGAGAGTCTTAAAACCCCGTTTACTTTGAGCCAAACTAAATTACGTCATCGCAAAAGCTAAAAGGTATAAAGTTAAATAACAAGGTAGTTGTGGAGGAATGAATGAGTACGAATTGCTTGATCAATGAGATAGATATGTGAGTTAACTTTGCTATATGAAATTGGTTCATTTGACTACTGCACAGTTTTTTTCCGAGACAATCTGACAACCAGTAAAACAATAAAAATCCATTTTAATGAACAAAATTGATTGAGCTGTGACAACTGGTGTCGGTAGTAAACGGTAATACCAGAAACCTCTGATAGGTTTCAGCAGACGAAGAAAAGTTTGAAATTTTATAATGAAATATTGATGGTGAAGTCAAAAACTTACGCTAAACTACATAACCGTCAGCATAAAAGTACCTTGTCTACTTACGTTAATATGAACAGTAAACCATTTACAGGTTCTTCCTGACGAACAAGATCTGCTTCAAATTGAAATTCCATTTGAACTAAAGACATTGCTGCTTGTTTTTTCAAACTTGGGACCCACCCACTGAAGATTGGACATTTGGTAACAAATTCAACACGTTTTTTATATCCAGCTTCATGTACCTCTTTCAATGAACGATTATATGTCATTCTATTGATCACAACCAAGTGTGTTGTACAGTCTGCGATGACAGACGCATTTCTTATACAATCTTTATTGATTAAAGCCAACTCTCCGAAACTGGCGCCATGCCCTGAAATATTGATCATGATACGATTATATGCGATGATAAGGTCAGTCTATTAAACTGAAGTTATCTCAAATAGCCTCATTAACACCAGAGGAATTCTGTTTCATAAACAGTCGCAAACACAATTAAAAGTCACCACTGGGCATACAATGAAGACGACATATCGCACAAAAAGGTAGCAGTAGTGGCAGCAAGTTAGAAAGATCCAAATATTTGAATGGTTAAATATCAGTCCAAATGATATTAATAATTACTAAGTACAATACTACTTTTATCAGTGTAATGAGCATACCGTAAAAATATATTCAAGATATAGTGAGTTCGAATGCTGAAATTCCTTATTGCATCACATATGAAGTAGATATCAACATATGTCATAACCTTGTCTTCAATGCTGACACGAAAATACTAGTCATATGTCAAACGGAATCCTGAAATGTCTCGGTAATTCACAGTGCAACTTCACATGGTGCTAGACAGTAAAAGCTTTCTGGTAGTGACATATGAGTAGAGTACAGTTGGTCTATTTTTTCTTCAGACAGTCTTTTCCATCTCAAGAAGTTCAACTAGTATCACACCGCTTTCAATTTCTTCACTGTACTAATCATTTTTACATTTATTATCTGACTATCACAGTATTTCATTCAATAAGATCTATTCTTAGTGTTATGAAGTTTGTTGATTTCTGAAGATGCTGCATAGCTTACATAAAAACTGTTTTGGTAAGCATACTGCTCACTGACTGCTATTAAGATGATCTGAAATTCATATTAGTGTTCGTGATGATAGAAACATCTTCTAACCGTTATGTATCATCCATTTATCTTAATTTCACTGCAATTGAACTGTACTAAGCCGACATAATATTGGTAAATTTGCCAGTTATTGGTATATTTCTCCAATGACTCTTAGGATGTTTCATAAGGCGTGTATGTATACGAATGAACTCCAGAGACTAGATGATGCAAGCAAAGAACAAAACTTTGAACTGTCTACTTGTAAATCATTTCAAATTTATCCTTCATTATACACCAACTGAGGCGTAAAAGCCATCAGACTTACTCAGAAATAAATTCGTGTGGCGAAAGTGTCGGCCAAGTGCCTTATGATTATATGTGAATTACTACCGTAACCTCTCACCTGTCTTCAGAAACAGGTCAACACATCCAGTTATTGAAATCTTATTTGATGATATTTGTTCAGCGTATCCTCACTAAGTTTCCTGAAAACTCAATAGGCATTGTCAACATCATCTAGGTGTGTGATGGTAACTATAAATAGATGTCTATACGGGGGAAACCATGTATCATGATTAATATCAGCATCTCAGTAGCACCCTAACTACGCAACATAGCTGCCAACACCTTCAAAAGAAAAGAGTAGATTGAAGGGACAGTCTGGATTCAGGAAGTACACACATGTGCCGACCAAATTACAACGCTACACCACGCATCATCACTGAACAGAGTATAGAACGGTAGTCAAATCAACTCTACCTCAAATTCATCCACTCCGAAAAGGCCTTCGACACCGTCGACCAACAAGTAATCTGGAAACTGCTTTAACTCTACAGTTTCAGTGCCACAAACACTTACCAACCTCATTCAACAACTATATGCTTTATGAAGATACTGCATACCTAGTCATTCACAATGGAAAGCTCAGTGATGCATTCGAAGTAAAGACACGAGTAAGATAAGGCTGCCACCTACTATCACCCATGATATTCCTGATCGCAGTGGACTGAACTGGATCATGCAACATGCAGTGAGGAGTGAGAAGAGGGGATACGATGGCTTGACCGGGAAAGATCCTAGATGATTTGGATTTCACCAATGATGACTTGTGTCTCATGTCATCTAGCATAAACTTTAATATCTACAGACAAAAACTAACAAGTTGACAGAAGAGGCGAGGCGAGGCGAGGTGAGGCGAGTCAGGGCAGGACAGCGAAGACGAGACTTCAAGTGAACGTGGAGAGGATGGAGGTGATGAAGATACCCAACCAACAACAACAACAACAACAACAATAACAACAACAACAACAACAACAACAAGCTGCAATGAGCATCAACGGGAGAAACTTGAAGGAAGTAGCCTCCTCCACCTACACCTATCTAGACAGGTAGCATCATTTCAACTACAGGCAGCGGTACATGCACAGGCAGCGGCACAGGCACAGGCACAGGCACAGACGAGGATGTCAAAGCCAGCATCGGAAAAGCAAGACAGATATTCATTGACGTGAAACCAGTGTGGAAATCGTCTGCACTCAGCATAAAGCGTGAACAACATGCGGATTTTGAAGACTAATTCAGTCAAGTGAGTCAGTGCTTCCATGCTTCCATGTGGTGGTTGAGAGAGTTGGCGCATTACGGGAGGTATTTCCAACAAACTGTAGACATTCATGAACAACTGTCTAGGTTGTCTGGTTACTGAAGCTGATGGCCAGATGGGGAGAGTGATAAGAATGAGCAAGGAGGAACTGTGGCTGTGTGGCTGGCTGGATGGCTGGCTGACTGGCTGGCAACCAACCAACCAACCAACGAAGCAAGAAGCTATCACTGAACAAATATGCAGTGGAAGGAAGTGGAGATGGATTGGATTGTATTGGGCATGCACTGAGAAGACCATTCGGGGACATCACGTGTCAGGCCAGGCTCTCGAGTGGAACCTAGATGAGAAACGGCGAGTTGTGTATCCGAGGTGAGGGTGACATGGAGGAGATTGTGTGGGAAGAAATGAGAGGTTGTGGGTTGTCATGGAGTGAGGTTCAAAAGATTGTGGAGAACAGAGTGTAGTTGGGACGTGGTAGTGAATCCCTATGTTCGAGTAGGAACCGAAGGGACAAATAGTAATAATGTAATAATAGAGGTGAATTGGGAGTCTGGGTGATCGACAAGCATCCACATTGTCTTCACTTGTCTTCTAATCAACTACTGTGACCTTTTTTGAGCACAGTAAGAAAGAACAGATTTGTTTCACGGTAATTCATGGCAATTCATCAGCCGCATACAACCTACAACTTTTCACAAGTTACTTTAATTTTCCAATATATTATGTACTTTCAGTATGGTTAAGCAAAAACGTCGTTGGTGACTTTAATCTTTATCTAACCCGGTAAATTCAGAGTAACTGGCTGGTTCAAAGAAGTCTGTAATCAGAAATAACCATTTCGTGCTCCCTAGTAACTGACCTTCAGGTTGATTCCCCGATGTTCTAATGGGAAGCTGTGAGCCTTGCTCTTTAACTAGATTAAATAGGAAGACAGATGCTGCCAGCACCACTGGGTGACAACTGAACCATATCAAAACTGACCAGAGTTTTAATCTACTGATGATTTCGTTCCAATCTAATGGTTGAATGATGCTCAGATTGAGACTCGAAGATACAATACCCTACCCTTCAAAGGGTCATAATACATAGAGGTGAGGAATTCTAAAATAAGACGAAATACTTTAAAGCATTTTAACAAGGCCTATAAGAAAAACCACTTAAGCATTGTATGAACAACAGCAGTTCCGCCTCAAACTTCATGCTTACCTGAGCAGTGAATATATCAGAAGACAAAGTTCGATCTATGACACCGAGGATAATTTCACTAGACAAATGTATATCATACATGGGTTCAATTTTAACTTGCATAAAAAATATGATATGAAAACGATAGACTGGTTTCTCTTGACTGGTCAGGTAAGTAGCGAAAACTATCCAATAAGATTATCCTGAATACATAACAGTTTATATCAAAATTATGAAGTTCAAAATCCTGTACCTAAGCAGCCGATGACTTAATATATCGGTTTTAACTTTATCCAATTTTAATCAGACGTAAATTGATTAAGTTCACTATATTTCGTCGAAAAAGGTTTGAAGATAAATTATGAAGCAGTCGTTCCTGATCTACGCTTTATATTGTAATTCAGTCGATTGATCGAACTACATTGCGATATCAGTCTCATGTATGTATTAAAACAGTCAACAAGTGGCTTATGAGCAAGTAGAATACCTCTAATATCTTTGGGTACAAAAGGGGATTAGAACTGATAAGATATGAAAGTAACAAATGAGTTTAATCACCTAAACTTGTAATAAAATTTCCACATTTCTCTCGATTGATCACTTTACGCTCCATAGAATATTTGGATCCGAGCATTGAATCATTTTGTTGATGAATCACCTCTTGGTCATCATGCGTAGATTCTGTATTCACATAAACTGATACTTGACCAGTTAGAATTATGTAGAAACTATACACATAAATAAACAGGAAATAATATATATTCAAAAATATGAAAAAAACTAAGACAGAATTTCACACCGCTAATTAAACTTATTGATTTGATCAGCTCTCTTCTATTGAATCATAAACCATCATACTATATGGCGTATTATATATCTCTTTTAGTAACTTTCAAAGAGGTATATTTGTACATGGGAAGCTCTAATTTACTATCATCAGTTTTCAAGTTCCAAAAAATTACCTTTTCCTCTCTCATTTCATTTAAATACGGCAAGTAATGGTGCACAAAGATCAAATGACTTTCAAGTAAGTTGAGGTTTTTTGCAGTAATCATATGATACACAAAAAATAATTTTATTACAGCACCACATTTAGAACTTGTTAGCTAAACCGACTACCATCGATGACCAACTTACATACTGTAGGATTCAAAACTACTTTCTGTAGACATTCAGATCAGTTGTAGTTATGATCATGATTAACTATGAAAGTTTTAGAACATCTGATTGGTGAGAACAACTGGACAGCTACGAACCTGTGAAGACAGGATAAACAGGAAGGAAAGGAAACTAGCTTATTTCACTGAAGGATTGCCCATAGAATTTACTGATATTTCCTTAGTGATACTTCTCATTTTTAACACTTGCCATTTACTTAACTGCAATGAATATGATTAAGACTTGAGCACTTCAATTCTATTTTAGTTTGTTTACTAGGACAAGAGAGATAGGCCTCCATTAATCTGAAACCAGAGTGGAGATCTACTGCACTCCGTATAAAGAACAAGATCCGGATTTTCAACACTAATTCAGTCAAGTCAGTGCTTCTGTGTGATGGTTGAGAGACTTGGAGATGGATTCGGCGTGCACTGAGAAAATCATTCGGGAACATCACGCTTCATTCCAGGTGGTCGAGTGAAACCCAGATGGGAAACGACTAGTTGGACGTCCGAGGTAAGGGTGACATGGAGGAGATTGTGTGAGGATGAAATGAGAGCTTCCGTGCTGTCGTGGAGCCAGAGTGAAATGGCGACGTGCTACTGAAGCCCTATGTTCCACTAGGAACCCAAAGGACAAATAATAATAAAAAAATGTTTTTTAGGTGTGTCACAGAGTGAAATAACATTATTTACTATAATACGTTCCTGACAGTTTACTATCCATCGTCATATCAAGTTAATTCCACAATTTTGAGAGATAGTTTAGATGAACAAAGTCTTTCTCCTTCTCGGAACTTAACAAACTATGTCTGAAAATTGTTGAGTTACTTTGATATGACGATGAACAATAAGTTGTATCCTAAACTTAGTCTGGTAAATAATATTGTTTCAAGTTGGTATTCATCATGGACTGATATCAGTTGAAAATAGAACCAGTGGTCATTGGTGACTAGCTTCGATAGGTGATTCCTGAAGTTCCAATATGAATTGGTGACCGGTGGGACAAACTTGGAGAACGTGAGGACAAATACTCAACGATGACATTGGATTGAGGTCGTATTATATCGTGAAGTGACAGAAGTAGGAAATATAGACCGCTGACCTCCGACCCAGTGGTTCAATTGTAACGTGTTGATCGATGGACCTGAAGGTCCTGGGTTCATACCCTGGAGGGGTCGTGGGTGCTCACTACTGATCAGTCCCACAGTAGAACAAAATAACTCTTCAGTGCTCCCAGGTGTTCTGCGTTCCTCCACCTGATGTCAGTCCACGATAAGTACTAACTTCGAAAGTAACTAAATCCCTACAAATCCCCAAATTGAATATTGTTTCACTCTGTGATACATCTAATAAATCAACTGAAACCACTCGTTTTGACATGCAAATTCAGCTAGCCAGATCACAGTTATCTAAACAAACACTAATTGGAAACATTTTTTTAATTTTGAACAAATGTAATGGTACTCACCACACGAAAAATATTGTTAAGCCTGAGTGTGCTGTTACTAACTGTAGTTAATTTAGGATCAGGTTACAGGAAAACAGAAATTTTGATTTCAACACCCCATTATACCTAATCAACTTTTGGTTTTATTCGATAAGTCTGTTTGATGACATTTTAATGAAAGGAAACTTATCAACTTCTTTGTGATCACCAAGAATAATATTCTGTAACTCCTGAATACGTTTTGCTTTTCTGTTTTACTAATATCATTTTTAAAATTCTTTGTTACTCGGTCATTCGATTAAAAATTAAATTTACCAGTGCATGATTTAGTAATACCTCAACCATACTTATCCTCTTGTTTTCGTGACTTGATTTGTCATTATTTATCCTCTCACTTTTGACTAATTTATTTGCATATATAGAGAAGATTGGCTTTTTGATGACATTCACCTGAGATTTCTTCGACTGATTTACTCCTTGAGTAACCCTGCTTGACCGTAACCAGTTTTTATGATTACAATAAACAGTGCGACTTTTCTCTCCAAGGATGTTACGTTTTTAGGCTATTTTTATAACCGTATTGTCGCTTGTGATATACGTATAGTGACTACTTGATATATATATATATATATATATATATATATATATATATATATATATATATATATAGGCCTGAACAATAATTTTCAGATCCCGCTTCTTAATGTTCTGTCAGTTTCTCGGTTAATGGAAAAGGTGGTATGATAACAGGTGTATTGCATCGTCGAAAATATTTACCAGATGCAAGAGTTTACACATACTAACAATGGCCATGGCTATTTCCAGGTCTTTCTAGATTTGAATATCCTATTAATTTTTTGTCTCTTCAACCAATCTGATATTTAAGTGTTGGTTCACGTGCTTTTTCCTGAAACTTCAGAATAAAACGATTGATTGTAACAGGCTTCAGGGATTTACGGCTTCTTATGAAGATTTTAGTAATTTTATTCCGCAATATAACAGTTATTATGCATTGTTTTCATTCTTGTCATTTCTCGTTGCTATACAGGGCCGAATCACTTGACCTCTGTTGGCTGATAAGCTTCTATACGGATGCCTCGATACTGCTGGGTGTTCATCATGTTTTATTTATCTTAGTGGCCAGCAATGAAATCCAGAGCATGGGTTTTGTCCTATGTGGGACTTTTCGGCTGGATGTACCTGCATCTCAGTAAGCGGTGTTCCCACTGGGACTCATACGCAGCACTCGTCGCTTCAAACGCTAAACCTGTATCCAACAGGCCACTAGGACATGGTAGTCACCTGTTGTGCAACGAGCATCAGTCGCTGTTTTGATACTTGTCATCGCCCGCTATTACATAGATTGAAGTGAAAATCTAGGCTGTAGCAAGATTCTAGCCAGAGGTTATTGGTTCGAATCCTGCCGTGGCTCAAGTTTTTGTTTCACCATGAAGTACCACTAACCATCAATACATTTCCGGAAGATTATGGTTATCTGAGATACTTAGCAGTGTTTTCAAACTTCTGCGACCCGTGCTTATCACTACTACCGAGTCTAGACTATCAATGAAAGCTCTTATATCACAGAAACATTTTTCCAAACAAGTTTAGTTCCTTTTCATAAATGTGGAAAACTAGTAAATTACAAACAAGCTTATATGTTCAGTACCTTAGTCCATCGAAAATCTGTACTATTTGTTATCTAATGTAACCTACAAAATTCAAGCTATCAATTTATTTCTATGAAAGCAACTGTGACATACACTGCCTTCTTGAAATAAACCGCATTTTCAATGGTCAATTTTTTTCGAAATTTGTTGAAATTTAACAACCTTTGACCTGATTTCTATCAATCAGTAGGATATGAAACAATTATATTATTAAAAAAAGTAGTACTTTATCGTTTTGTAGTGTTGTTTTCTAAAATAATCACCAAGGTGATCAAGTCAAACAAACAAAAATGTAATCAATAAGCTATAGGTTTTTCTAAACGTTATTCTTTGAATAAAATTTTAGGTTTATCCATAAAAAGTAATGGAATTTGAGTACTTTTTGTAATTTTATGACTTGATCAGTGATAATTTATTTCAATCATCTTCCATATACTACAAAGATTCAATAAGTATTGTGACTGAGAACGGTTATCCAAGAGTTTTCACTGTATTGATACCAGTTTAACTTCGTACTCTTTCAATTGCCAGGAAGCTCCTATTTATAAACTTATCATTCTAATAACGTGACTGTCGGGTAGAAATCTAGGACAGTGGAAACATACAATATCAGAGAATTCCTAGAAGCTTGGCATTCAGGTTATTCAGTAATCAATAGGTATATAGATACAGAGTCTGATGCCAGGCAGAGAAACAGCCAACAGGAAAATCTATACAGTCAAACAAAACAACCAGTGATAGACCAATTCATCAACCCAAGCATTTAAATCATTCACGGAGGGATATTACTAGCTCACTTCATACTGAAATTAGTGCTGATGATATTGTCTAGAAAAACAATAAAAGCTCTACTATTAACTAGTCAGCTCAGAGAACACAACACAACCATGATCATCCACCTGACCTAAAAAATATCCTTCACCATTTTAAAATCCATATCAAGTACTAAGCACTGAGCGAATTCAACAAAGAAAAAGGTTTAAACTTAGCACCAGAGTCTTCTGTCGGTTAATTCAAAATTATAACAGTAAACACCATGTTCTGCAAGGTTACATCATTTAGGTTGATGACTTCAATATAAACATGATCGATAAACTATGATCATAAACACAGCGACATCATTCACCATTCGGTGACGATTTCAGTTTGTTTATTGGGTGTGTAACACAGTGAAACAGCAACATTTACTGGACCATGTTTCTGAAAAAAAGTATTATCCATAGTCATATCAAGATAACTGTACAACTATGAGAAATGGCTTATATAGTTGTAGCACTCTATCATTATTTTTGATAAGGGTAGTAGAAGTTCCCATATATCTGGGTCAGGTGCTGAATCATTCCTATTTCATATATGTGGTGTTGATTGGAAAAAGAAAGATTGGGTTATCCATCTTACTCTGCATGTGCAGTTGCATGCATAGCTGTAACCCAGCGTTTTTTCTTGACTCCTTATCTTACTAGGATCCACCATTAGAAATAATAGTAATAATAAAGGAAACGCCGTGAAGGAAGGTGTTACCAAACAAGGAAGCCACCTCAGAAACGTTACACACAAGTTTCTCATACAGGCTGGGATTACAACATTTATACCGAAAAACTCACTTTGTAGGTTAAGAGATCCTACTGATCCAACTAGGCAGAATAATTTAGACCTGATATGAATATAAAGAACAAATTACGTCCAAAACGTTATCCAGTAAATAACAGTCACTGTGCGATGCATGTAATAAGCAGACTAAAATCCAATTGAAGTGCCCTAGTTATACTCTTGTATTAGCAAAATAATTTACTTTACCAAATCCCTAGCAATGGCTGAAAGGTCGACTACGTGGATCAAAGTAGTTGATTGGAGTCAGTTAGACTGTCCGAGCACAAAATCTTAATTAAATCAAGAAAAACATTAGGCTACAGTTATGCATACGACTACACATAGTGACGTTTCTTAAAACTAACTGATTGGGAAAGAGACAGAAACTGATAACCAGTTCTTTCTTCATCGAATCAACGCTACATATATGCAATAGAGATTTTTCAGCCTCTGTCCTAGATATATGGAAACTTTTACTACCCTCATTAAAATTAATGAGAGAGAAATAGAAGTAGACGAATCATGTCTCAGAATTGTGCGGTTACCTTGGTATGACTATGAACAATAAGTTACAGTTTCTTTGTGTGGTAAACCTGATAAACGAACTAAGATGTACTTATAACCCACCACAGCATACCTGTTTTACACATCTATTCATCATCCCTAAATTAGTTCATGAACATAACCTAGTGAGTCTTATGTGTGAATCTAACCCATTGTTTTGAGTATGATGAACTGAATATGCTCAAGAAGTTGTTTATGTATATCTAGTTCATCCATGACTTGAAATGTCATCCTTAAGATGGGAAAATATTTCGTGAAGGATCTTTCCCCAAAAAGTTTTATATTATGTTTCACAAAAATAAGATCTCCTTTAATGCAGTGCAGTTATCACATTCAAGTTCATGAACGAACCAATATGCTACACTTGTTTTATAGGAGTTAATGGTATTACTTCTTAGCTTACGCCTTTGTAGATGAAGAGGAATTCAAACCTGCAACCCCTTAATTGAAAGGAATATCAACTTCAATACAATCATTTTAATGTCTTTCATTGAAATTTACCAAAATGAACTTCCATCGAATATAATATCTCAATTGAGTTTATTTTTTGTAAGAAGGCTAATTATCGAGTTTTATTATTTACACACATATACATTATGTATGCTGTAAAACTAAAACAAGTGGGAGATATTTGTTGTACAAAATGTACTGCTATTTTCAGTGCGTGGATCATTGATTGACATCAGCTGGAGATTAACGAAAGCTAAGTGTCAATAGACAGTTATTTCGTCCTATTGTAAAACTCCTATGCGGGATTGTGCAGGTTTTGGAAAGACCACGTCACTATACAGACACTAACTTAAGATTTCATTGTTCATGTTTTTCAAATTTTGCACACTGATGATCTACTATATCTACAAGCAAATGTTGATGTTAAACTTCACAGATGACAACATCAGATATCAATCCATGACAAATACTCAGAAGTCAGTCAATTACTCACTAACCTGTATTAGCCTAATACTTCATTGTATTGCATTCAGGCTATAAAGATTATATATGGTAAATAAGCTTCTACATTAGAGTAAGACTTCAATACTATGGAAGACTGTAAGCTCATATTTGAATTGTTTATTTGTTACAGTGGATAACTATATAAGACTCTTTATTAAATGATGTTTCAGGAAAAATTTATCTTTTATAACCAACACAGAGTAGTCGAAAATCCATACACACACAAACACACTTGTTGATATGATTATGGACACTAAATTATGCCTGAAGCATAAACCAGTAAATAACACCTCGTCAAATAAATAAGATAGGCGAACAAAATTTTGATGAAAGATACATTTAGGATGAATGTTGTATAACACTTGAATGACACTTATTATTAATTTCGGGTAGAAGTTAGTAATATCTATCACAGTAGGAAATGATTGACAGAAACTTTTCACTTTGAAATAGAACATTTTTTTACAGCGCGGTTAATTCGATGCCGTTTTGTATGTTCTGTAGCCTGACTAAACAAAACTTATTTCATGCAACCATTCAGTGGAAAAGAATACTTCGTTTGAAATCATTCTAGCAAAAAAGCTATAGGTAGTTTGTAAATATCACTTACAAAATTGGATCTGAACTAAAATAATAATATGGTCAGAAGAGGTTAGTCAGTAGTAATTTGATCTGTGTCAAGAATGCTGGTGCTTTTTGGTGTCAAATGTTGTTAGTCGGTTGATACGAAGCCATTGAACTAGGTCTTAAGATTATTGGCACTCATCAACAATTAGTATATATAGTTACAAAGAAAATAATGTGCCCTTGTGTATTCGAACCAGCATCACTCAGTGAAGTCACAAGCTTTATGAATAAGTTACTTCAGATAACTCTAACCCTCTGTAGGACTGGATTAAGCTTTGAAATCGTCCACTAAATGGCGAATGACTAACTTCTACCATGTGACATCAAAACACAGCTGACTCCAATCTCATGTCACTTAACTTACTGATCAACAGACTCCTATCATTAATGAGGACTTAGAATTCACAGGTACATACGTTACAACCCAGTGTGTACTTCGTTTACCGATGACTTTCTTCAAGGTCTTCATACACTAGATTCTAATCAAATGCTATTCAATCATTTACTGTTCCTACCAGTTTTTGTGAATACAGACATTCTCTTCAGCATTCAAATGGTGTGTAAATACTTCACGAAGTAAGAATACTCCCTTGAATTTAACATAACAGTAGTTTAATCTTTTGTACATCAATTAACTGTATACAACTTTCAGAAAAACTAACATGTTGAAGTGAAATCATTCTACTGCTCTGATCCTATTATTATTATTATTATTACTATTATTATCATTATCATTATCATTATTATTATTATTATTTGTCCCTTCGATTCCCAGTCGAACATAGGGATTCACCACCACGTCTCAACTACACTCTGTTCTCCACAATCATTTGAACCTCACTCCATGACAACCCACAACCTCTCATTTCTTCCCCACACTATCTCCTCCATGTCACCCTCACCCCGGATGCTCAACTCACCGCTTCTCATCAAGGTTCCAATCGAGGGCCTGGCCTGACCCGTGATCTCCCCGAATCGTCTTCTCAGTGCATGTCCAACACAATCCAATCCATCTCCACTTCCTTCCACTGCATACTCGTTCAGTGATAGCTTCTTGCTTCGTTGGTTGGTTGTTGGTTGGCTGGTTGGTTGCCAGCCAGTCCAGCAGCCCACCCAGCCACCCAGCCAGCCACACAGCCACAGTTCCTACTTGCTCATTCTTTTCACTCTCCCCATCTGGCCATCAGCTTCAGTAACCAGACAACCTAGACAGTTGTTCATGAATGTCTACAGTTTGTTGGAAATACCTCCCGTAATGCGCCAACTCTCTCAACCACCACATGGAAGCATGGAAGCACTGACTCACTTGACTGAATTAGTCTTCAAAATCCGCATGTTGTTCACGCTTTATGCTGAGTGCAGACGATTTCCACACTGGTTTCACGTTAATGAATATCTGTCTTGCTTTTCCGATGCTGGCTTTGACATCCTCGTCTGTGCCTGTGCCTGTGCCTGTGCCGCTGCCTGTGCCTGTGCATGTACCGCTGCCTGTAGTTGAAATGATGCTACCTGTCTAGATAGGTGTAGGTGGAGGAGGCTACTTCCTTCAAGTTTCTCCCGTTGATACTCATTGCGGCTTGTTGTTGTTGGTTGGGTATCTTCATCACCTCCGTCCTCTCCACGTTCACTTGAAGTCTCGTCTTCGCTGTCCTGTCCTGACTCGCCTCACCCGCCTCGCCTCGCCTCTTCTGTCAACTTGTTAGTTTTCGTCTGTAGATATTAAAGTTTATGCTACATGACATGAGACACAAGTCATCATTGGTGAAATCCAAATCATCTAGGATCATTTTCCCGATCCAGCCATCGTATCCCCCTCTTCTCACTCCTCACTGCATGTTGCATGATCCAGTTCAGTCCACTGCGATCAGGAATATCATGGGTGATAGTAGGTGGCAGCCTTATCTTACTCGTGTCTTCACTTCGAATGCATCACTGAGCTTTCCATTGTGAATTACTTGACATGTGTCATCTTTATATAGTTGCTGAATGAGGTTGATAAAGATCTGCGGTATTCCGTAGTATTGAAGCAGTTTGCAAATTACCTCTCGGTCGACGCTGTCAAAGTCATCGATACTATAGGTTCTATAAAAGTGATTATCATCAATTATCCATGATTATACTACTAGTGAACTGTATGAACAGGTAGAAACATGTCATACTGATCTTAAAAAGTTCCACCTATTGGATTTGAAGTAAATTTGGCGTAAAATTAGAGTTTTCTTTTGCTTCAAAGAGAAATTTCATCAGCGATACATTCAAAGTTTTGTTCACACTTTTTACTTTCTATGCTGTTCAAAACAGAAATGAAGTATACTCCATTGAAATGACTAGCACATATAAGATAGGCTGTTTTCTAGTTAATACTGTAGAATAGCCAAATGATGTCTGTTTTAAAAAGATTAGGTAAGACAAAGATTAAGTTTCAACAAAAAAAGTCTATAAAAATACATGCTGATTACCATTCGCCTTCTTCAGACTGACGTATAATTATATCATCAGCTTCACGTTCAGAGAATTCACAATTTTTGATGATATCTTTGACAACATCTGTAAGTTGATGAAATGTGTATGGTATTCGTTGAACATCTCTTAAATCAAAGATTACCAGGTTGAAGATTTGAAAAAAAATCCACTTTTTCAATGAACCATTGATAGATCTCTTCAATTTCCTCTATTGACCGCTCAGCTATTGGCTTTTTAATGCATTCAACAATCTTTTCATAGAGTATATCAGTTCTGGTTGACATTATATTATCTGGTAAAAATGATTTTTCAAACAGAAAATCAGAAAACATTTTTAGTAGTTCTTTAATTAAAAACAATAAACTTGTAAAGATAGTCTTCTTTTAGTATAGATAAATCTAAATGTGTTAAACAGTTGTGTTAGTATGTATGACCATATGTCTTTGTTATTGATGGCACTGAAATTATAGATGTATGTCAGACCTAGTATAATTGTTTCATATCATACCGTCGTTGATTGGACCGAATTGATCAGTCTCTATTGAAGTATGGGTTCCTGTCCAGATGTCTCAATATTACTTGTGCTCTAATGAAAGTAATGATGGATAGTGGTTAGCAGTGGAATCTAGGATGTGCATTTCGTCCTATTTGAGACTAGTCAGCTGAGCGAAATGCGCATCCTAGATTCCACTGCTAGCCACAATCCATCAATAATATGTCCGTCCTGCTTAGGATACTTGTGCCGGCTAAACTTGAATCTCAGTGGATGGTGTTATTCTTAACCGGACTAGAACCAAGCACTTGTCAATTTAAGCTTCACAGTAGTATTTACTAGGCTGCTCAGCTGAAACAGCCACCTGTTCAGATTGAGACTAATGCTCATAATTGAAGCTGATTTAGTTCTCTAAAATTCACTTTTCGAAAAAGAGTTAAAAATTTTATTTTTGAAAAAAAACTTCTATGAAATACAAGAGTATAAAATCAAGGTTAGAATATTAAGGCTTAACTTTTATACTTATTTAGTTTTATTCCATGTTTTCTAAATATCGAGGGTATAATTGACTGTAAGAACACTAAATAAGCATGTGCCTAAACCCTACATGACCAACTAAAGGGTGATAAGGATAGACAGACTAAACCAGATACTCATCTAAAAGTACAGTGGTTCAAGTTGCTATAATCTACAACAGAATGAAAAAGAAAATGTGTAAGAAAACGATGACCGTACATCAAGCGGGAATATGATAGAAAAGATAACAAATAAACTAAGACTGAAAAAATGTTATGACTTATAAGGCATGAATACATTTGTCTTGTTGTCACTGATATTAAGTGGTGTTTTTGAAGTGTTCAACCTTCATTTACAAACATTTTGAGGGCTGCAATCACTTTGTACCTTTCTACACGTCTAGTCAAAGTGTCTATATATTAGTAGCGTGTATCTGTGTGATTACGTTTGGCTTTCTGATGGCCTAAATCTACTCTGAGTATCTTTGTTCATCCAAATGGTTCGGCAATCAACATATGTTGAAGCCATCTCAGCTGACAAAGACTCCGACCTGACAACTGGCTGGTACTCTTTCTTTAGTGCAATAAACTCAAGCTGAAGATTACTTATTTTTATCTAACCATAGCAGCAGACTTAGGCTATGATGCAACTCAGGAATAGAGTTTATTATAGGTATCGTCTTTGAAAAAAATGTATTTACAGTGTTATGTATTTATGTAAATATAATGTGTATTTAATTTTCAAAGCAATGAAGTCAGTTGATTTCGCAGCGAAACCTAATGTAAACTTTTAACTTCAAGGGAAAGCAACGTATGGTATGCAGATATTTTGCGCATAACCCGATCTAACCAGATGATAATGAATATGGAAGTAGGATATGACGAATTCCCTGAGGATTTCACTGTATTCTCATCAGTTATAGTTCCTTTTTTAAAATATAAGAAAGTTTTAGCAAACTTTTAAACTTGGAAATGAGGGAGGCGAGAAGGAACAGCAGAATTTTTTGAAAAGATGAAGCTGAAAAGAAACATTTTACATAGATTTTCATCAATCATTGAAGGAATATTGGGGTATAAGGAAAGAATAAGTGGAATATGGTGACATGAAAGAACAATAAAAGTTCGGTTACATGCAATGAACTGGAGGATATTTAGGAAAAAAAGTTAAAGAGAAAACTGATCGCTTAGATCGTTACAAAGGTGAATGAAAGCCAATCACTGATTACCTCTCTAAACAAAGATACCTTTTAAACCCTCTTATATCTTAAGTTTCAGCTAACGGACAAAGGATGACGTTAAGTGTCCCTTATTCATGAATACATAAATGAATTTCAGATGTCTGTGGTATGCTATACTTTTCATAGGTTTTATGAAACAAAAAAGCTGTTGATACTGCTTAGCCTTCTACGCTTTAGATTCTTTGAAGTATATTTCCAAATATGCTTATGAATCAGTTTTCCTACCTATTTATTTCACTCGTTTTTCTACTTCCAAGGAAATTTATGAATCCATATGCAGATGATACTTTACAGGTGTTCATGTATTTCAATTCGTGTTTCTAAATACTAACGCCTAATAAATAGAAACTAACGTTGATGTACAGGAAGTACGAATCATATGCCGGCCAATTTTCAATGCTACATCACGCATCATCATTGAACACAGTATACAATGGCAGTCAACTCAAATCTACCTCAAATTCATCCACTCCGAAAAGGCCTTCAACAGCGTCGACCAACAAGCAATTTAGCACTTGCTTCAACACTATGCTCTTAGTGCAACAAACATTTACCAACCTCATTCAACAACTATATGCTTTATGAAGATACTGCATACCTAGTCATTCACAATGGAAAGCTCAGTGATGCATTCGAAGTAAAGACACGAGTAAGATAAGGCTGCCACCTACTATCACCCATGATATTCCTGATCGCAGTGGACTGAACTGGATCATGCAACATGCAGTGAGGAGTGAGAAGAGGTAGATACGATGGCTGGATCGGGAAAGATCCTAGATGATTTGGATTTCACCAATGATGACTTGTGTCTCATGTCATCTGGCATAAACTTTAAGATCTACAGACGAAAACTAACAAGTTGACAGAAGAGGCGAGGCGAGGTGAGGCGAGTCAGGACAGGACAGCGAAGACGAGACTTCAAGTGAACGTGGAGAGGATGGAGGTGATGAAGATACCCAACCAACAACAACAACAACAACAACAACAACAAGCTGCAATGAGCATCAACGGAGAAACTTGAAGGAAGTAGCCTCCTCCACCTACACCTATCTAGACAGGTAGCATCATTTCAACTACAGGCAGCGGTACATGCAAAGGCACAGGCACAGGCACAGACGAGGATGTCAAAGCCAGCATCGGAAAAGCAAGACAGATATTCATTAACGTGAAACCAGTGTGGAAATCGTCTGCACTCAGCATAAAGCGTGAACAACATGCGGATTTTGAAGACTAATTCAGTCAAGTGAGTCAGTGCTTCCATGCTTCCATGTGGTGGTTGAGAGAGTTGGCGCATTACGGGAGGTATTTCCAACAAACTGTAGACATTCATGAACAACTGTCTAGGTTGTCTGGTTACTGAAACTGATGGCCAGATGGGGAGAGTGAAAAGAATGAGCAAGTAGGAACTGTGGCTGTGTGGCTGGCTGGCTGGTGGCTGGCTGGGTGGCTGGCTGGCTGGCTGGCTGGCTGGCTGGCTGGCTGGCTGGCTGGCTGGCTGGCTGGCTGGCTGGCTGGCTGGCTGGCTGGCTGGCTGGCTGGCTGGCTGGCTGGCTGGCTGGCTGGCTGGCTGGCTGGCTGGCTGGCTGGCTGGCTGGCTGGCTGGCTGGCTGGCTGGCTGGCTGGCTGGCTGGCTGGCTGGCTGGCTGGCTGGCTGGCTGGCTGGCTGGCTGGCTGGCTGGCTGGCTGGCTGGCTGGCTGGCTGGCTGGCTGGCTGGCTGGCTGGCTGGCTGGCTGGCTGGCTGGCAACCAACCAGCCAACCAACCAACCAACCAACGAAGCAAGAAGCTATCACTGAACAAATATGCAGTGGAAGGAAGTGGAGATGGATTGGATTGTATTGGACATGCACTGAGAAGACCATTCGGGGACATCACGCGTCGGGCTAGACCCTCGAGTGGAATCTTGATGAGAAGCGGTGAGTTGAGCAACCGGGGTGAGGGTGACATGGAGGAGATAGTGTGAGTAAGGAATGAGAGGTTGTGGGTTGTCATGGAGTGAGGTTCGAAAGATTGTGGAGAACAGAGTGTAGTTGAGACGTTGTAGTGAATCCCTATGTTCGACTGGGAATCTAAGGGACATATTATAATAATAATAACATTGATGTAAATGACGGGTTATTGAGTGCAACTTCCAACTTTGAAGGGACTTCATTTATACTTTCATTGTTCATAAACAACAGACAGGTATGTGTGACTTTCTTCTTAGGTTTACTGCCATTTTTTTTAAGAGAAATCATTTATGAACTTCCTTACACTCCTTTGACGATTGATGTTTTCTGGAGGACACTTTTCATTTGTTATAGACTCGTTACCTAGTTCTTATCTTGTCACCTACACTTTTGATTTTATGTTACAATGATCTCACAGGAAGTTGCTTAAAGCTAATCAACCGGTGAATCATACAACAATATACAAATTCAGCGAATTTAAGTTTGAATTGACCACGATGAAGTAGGCGTCATCATTTCAGGAGATTTAGCTAAAAGCGTTAAAAAAGGATTTAAAATCTTGTCAAAATAAGACGAACAAACAAAAGATACTCAGTGGACAAAACTTTGAAGCTTGAAAAGATGGGTGCTGTACTCTAGTATTAATGGGAGATCCAAGTATGTCAAGTGGATGGGTCCAAAATAGGCTGAAACATGCACCCTGGAGATGATTGCCAGTCATTACTAAGACAATAACAGCAAAATAAAACTTAGGTATTCGTTTAAGTAGCCCATATTCCAAGAGTGATCAATTACTTCGATCCAGTATGATAATCAGCCGGAAAACACAAGCAACCATTAAATGTAAGATCTATTCAAATTAACATTAACGACTAAAATTTTCATCAATATAAACGTTTTTCACTCCAAAGTGTAAGATGTTGATATTTCTATTGCGTGATATGTTTACGGCCTAAACTTTCCACACAGAGAAATTACACATTTTTTTCAATGATATCTAAAGTCTCCTTTTGAAATAGTGAGTGGGAAATATTTGTAGTTCAGGTGAATGATCATGGCTGTGTTGTGTTCTTTGAGCTGGGCTGGGCTGTTTAATC